ACAGAATTAGTGTTCTTGTCTCCTTTGTTCTTTTGGAGAGTTTGTTGGTGGTAATGATGCAAATGCATTATGTTCAGCTAAGAAAAAGGAAAACATGCTGCTTAATAAGTTATGTTTCTGACATAATTTACTTCATGGTACTATGCAATATAAAGAGACTGTGCCTTGTATATAATGTAATTGAAAAATATTGTAATGCATGCTCTCCTTGATTTTATTTTTGTGGGAGGCCTTCTGTACAGTCACTGTATATTTGCTAGCTGTTCTCTTGGGGTTCTGCCTCATAATAATGAAATTATATTTGTATCTTAAAAAATATGTAATGAAAGTTATATCTAGTGATTGAATGTGTGTGCATGGTGGGAAAGCATGTGCATGTATTTACGTACATATTTATGTGGTTGTTTTTGTCTAACAGGAGCCAGCATGTCTTACAACTGCTGCATATAAATGTTTAATTGGTTTCTAAAATTTCTTTTTCAGTAGAAATTACAACTTATATATTTGTGTGGAAACTTGATTGTCACAGATATTTTCATAGATGGTTGTTCGGTCCTGGCAATACTTTTCTTTGTTTTCTTTTTTTTCTTGGATGCACATTTTTTCCACTTCCTGGATCACCACTTACAACTAATTGATCCTTTCTTTTCTTGGCAAACGACTTTCGTTTTTCTTTTTGCAGGTTATGAAAAACTGTTCCAGACTGAGTAAAGTCTTTCTGGTTGCTATGGTGCATGAGCTCTACAAAACTGGAATGGGTGAAACCACCTTTGAGAAGGTACATATTTTCTGTCCCTGCTTATCTGAACACTCAATTTCAAGGTGTAACTTTTAAAGCCTGCAGTATTCTGTTATTTTCCTTCATACAAGATAGCTTTGTTATGCAATATTACTGAGATACTTGTTTGGCTGATGGTTTATCTAAGCAAGGGACAAATTGGGAAGTCTTGTTTTGGGCTCATTTGGGAGAGGCTCCAGCTTGCGCCCCTCCAAGGGCTGTTATATGAGTTTTAAAGTTCTCTATTAGCTTCTGAAGTAATAAAATTTTTCTTTATTCATCAAAAAAATATATATTGCTGAGATACTTGATTTTCAGAATATATGAGGTTTGCTTGCTTCTCAGGCATACTGAGATTTAGCAACAAATTACATCCAAACAGGAACTTGTCATTTTTCAATAACATCTTTAGATGCAAGTACTTATGATGATAATTAATCTTGATGAGATGGTTCCTGTTCTAAAAGGCGAATTTCAATTTTTTTTCTAATTCATTTCGACCGTTGCAGATAGCGACAACCATTTCCTGTCTCTGTGCAAGCAATGGTGAAGCATTTCCTGGCTGGGATGTGCTCTTGAGAGTTGGGTAAGACATGCTGACATTTATTTTTTGTTTGGTCAATTTACATTCCATCTCTGTCAGGTTGAACAGAGTAACAAAATGACCAATCCAGGTTTTCCACTGGGACACCCTCTGGATTGGGCACATCAATTATCAACACCCCTTGAATTTGTAGCTTGTCAAAATAAATTTGGTATTTTAGATTGGCTTCTGGCACCGTATTACATATCTCAATGTGTAAAAAACATAAGACTGACTTTTGGCCTCTGCAATAGTTGTCGTGTGTAACAAACTAGGATTGTCTGGAGCTAGGCATAGATTACAAAAGTTGCAGCTTAACTTCCCGAGGTTAGTTCCTTTTACTGAAGAATTCATATTTAAGTATCCAAGTATCCTAACTGATCAGACTGATTCGACTGCATATTTCTGCACATATATTATTTATGGATTTGTCCAAATAACGTGTGATCATTCTTGTCAGTCTGCAATCTGCATATCTCCGCTTGTTCTGTAGTTTCTAATCATCTCGATTAAAAYGTTAGCATCAGATGACAGCAATTGAATAGAAAATGTTATGACATGGCAGTGATGATGTGGCATTCGCACTGAAAGACAGCAAAGAGATACCTTGGTTGGCAAAGTACCTGTGACAGATGACTTGAGAGGAAAAAATCATAACTACATTCTTGGAATTATTTATTGACTTTTCCGTTTTCACCTTCTCATCAAAGTATGGATCGAGTTTCCTGGATTAGATGATCTTTTTTTTATCAATGATGTTTTCTTCACACAATTCTTTTTTGAACTTCACATTCAATTTTTCTAGACAATGAATGCCAATTTTTAGGACCATGTATTTAAACCCCCCCCCCCAAACAACACACGAGAGAGAGAGAGAGAGAGGAAATTGTGTACTGGGGTGGATAACATCATGGATGACTTGACTCAAACGAGGATCTTTAGTCCATTTGACAAATATGAGAGGGAACGTTCGTCCCTTTGCTGGTGGATGCAAATGAAAATGCTCCAAGAATCATTGGTTAAAGCATTAATTGTAAAAAGGTCTTACATTTGCGCTAGGTTCCTAGCAGTGATTGTTTCTAGGGTCAGTATTTCTATTTGTATGGAGTGAATTACAGGTCAAATGGTGGATTCCTTGTGCCAGAAGCAAAGCCATGGTTGGCACAAATAGATAATCGGTTTATGGCCAAAGGAAAAGCCAGGGCTCTTACTAGTGGCAGGTAAGTAGAGACGGCAATTTGACCCGTACCGTGGGGTCCCACCCCAATCAGGGCGGGGTTTTTTTGACCAYTGATTGGGGTTTGGGGCAGATTCGAGGAAAACCCGAAACTCGGGTTGGGGTGGGGTCCGACTTGACTATATTATATTATATAATATAAAATAGTTTTAGATAAATTTTAAAAAAAATAAATTATTAAGTATACTGGGGCGAGGTAAAATTGGGATTCCCGTTCCCTGCAGGGATGGGGATGGGGTTAAGATTTTTAGCCCCATTGGGGTTCGGGGCAGGTATGGGGTGGAGATTTTAAATTTAGGTTTGGGTAAGAGGCAGGAAAAACCCGGCCCCGCCTTGCCCCTTTGCCATTCCTACAGGTAAGTACTAGCCCAAAAGTGCTTCTTATGCTTGCCACATCATCCTCTCACGTGGCAAGTTTGGACTGGTAACCCCATGCTATGTTGCCAGAAGAAACCCTTTTGAGTTTTGAAAAGCATTCTTTTCTGTAATGGTTTGTCAAACGAGAGCTCTTACTCGTGACTCAAGTTCACTCATTGAATCGACATCAACGCATCTCAATCGTGTATTGAGAACATCAACCAATGTCAAGTACGGTAAATATTCCTGATGCACGCTGTGATGATGTGCATGTGGAGTGCAATGTGAATTCCTGATTATTACTCTTCCAGCATCTATCTATTGCTCGTGGGATTGTAGGCTGTAGCCCCACATTATTTGTGCCCTTTGAGGGGGCTTTCCTGTGGCGGCTTTTGGCTTTGCATGCTAGGCCCCATCCGAACAGCCTATTAGTCAATGCTGGTAAAAAATCTGGATTATGGAAAGCTCAAATTTGCTCTTGTTCAGACAGAAAAAAAGATGGCTCTAAGTAACTCAGTGAAAAGTTCAACCAACTTCAGCCCTTCCAATTGAAGCATGAATTTGGCTTTTTTCTTCAGTGTCGTTTGATAAGTCTTTATTAAGGATCTTCTCGAAAATTTAACAGTCAAAAGACTGAGCTTTTGCATAAAGATCTTGGTAGCTTATAGTTATAGACCGTTTGGTGGAGGCACATCTTTTCATGCGTCTTTCTGCATGAAGATGAGGCAAAAGAAAAGTGAAAATATCCATTTGGAGCTTCTTGAAAATAGCCTGAAACAGGCTTTTCACATCTTTTCGGGACTGCATCTTTCGGCAACTAGATCATTTCCCAACCAAATGGAAAAAGACGAAAAAGTAGGCTGTTGGGCTTTTAAAAAGCCAACAACTTGGGCAAAAAGATGCACCAAACTTTTATTAGACGAAAAACATGGCTTTCTAAATTGGATGATTCCTCAGAAGCTATCCCTTCTTGACTTCCTAGATAAATGCTAGGGGGTGAAACTGATCCGATCCAAGATTCAATCCTATTTGGTTGAATTCAGATCACCCCTATCCGATCCGAGAAGATTTGATTTGATATATGTTATATATTTATTTATATAAATATATATAATATATATGTTATTTATTTATTTACTTATAAATATATTATTTATATTGTATTTTTATAAATTTGTTATATTATTTATTTTTTTATAAAAACATGTATATATGATGAAAATAATGAAAAAATACTTGTACTTTTTGTTTTTTCTTTATTTAGGTATATTTTATTTTTCTTTTAATAATTTATTAATTTTTTAAAGAAAACAAGTCAAATCGGATCAGATCCGACTTGCCAATAAGATTCAAATTTAGATCGAGACATATCAAACCCACTATGAATAATATCGGATTAGATTCAAATATACGCTGATTCAAATCCGCTCCAATCAGTTTGCATCACTAGTAAATGTTATGAGCTATAACAGTGCTCTTCAGTCAATGGCTCCAAAATAACTATTAGCAAGTTTTTTAAATCCCACCAATGTGCATGGTGGGATTCACCAGTTTTATTGACGTGGCTGCTGAGTGCTCTCTCATGATCATTACTCTAAAATAGTAATAGAGTATTGCTATTACCAGGTCAGCGTCATATGGCATAGCTATTGTGATCTATTTGGTTTTGGTTCAATGTTTTGCAAAAACTGGTGGTACCAGTTCGATTTTTGGTCAACAGTTGACCTAAAAGAAAAAATAGTGGTTATCTGAACAGATCGGACTAGTGAATATATATAATATTTATATATTATATATTATTTAAAATATAATATTATATATATATAGTATTTATGTTATATATTTATATTTTTATAATATATATTGAAAATATGAAAAAACAAAGCAACTGAAGAGCCAAACTGATCAACCAATTAACTAATGGTTTCAGCACGCTTCAGTTCACCTGTTTTTCAAAAACCTGAGATGCATTTTCATCCAAACCTGATGCAAAAGGATTTAAGTTATGAAAAGAAGCTCTAGCAAATTACGGATGAATAAAAATGGATGAAAAGAAGATTAGTTTTGTTTGCATCCTTCTCTCCCAAAACAAAATTAATACTCCCGCACACCTGCTACTGAGGATAATATTCACATTTTCTCTGCCCTTTCTTCATAGGGTAAAATTGGCCAGAGATTAATAAATTAGTTAGGAGTTGTACTTGAATAAGATAATTGTTACAACAAGAAACTTGTAGCTCTAAACTTGAGACCGACACTTGCAACTATCACAGTGGTTCTCTCAATTGCAATGGCAGGCTGCAGGGTCGATCTCAGTTGCTGAAAATGACAAACGTTGCTTCTGTTCCCCAATTCTTGAGCTACTGCAATTCCTTCCAAGTACTTTCCAGTTGACCTATAACGCATTAGTTGGTGTCTAACAAGCACTCTGATGGTAATCCAAAATCCTTTGTCAAATAACCAAGTTGCCGCCTCCAAGGATCATTATGTAATTTGTAGTGCAGAACCTTGTTACACCAGAGGAAACTCAGCTAGATCAATGGGTTAGAACTTAAAAATATAAATCCACAGATATATAAGCATTAAATCTGTTGAACACTAATACCTTTAAAATAGGAAATTTCACATTATAAGCATTCTTAAAATTTGATCAACAGTAGATGGTATTATGGAAATGTCATGCCACCATTTACTTGTTTGTTTGTTTGTTTTGAAGCCATGAAGACACTTGTTGATTCGCAGTTCTCACTAAAAAGAGGCTTATTCATAAAGGCATCAAAGAATTCAAGAAGATGCCATTAAGTTGGTATGAGTGCACAAGTTGATACCAAAGACCTTTTCAAAGCTATCTTCTATTCATTACCCATTGCATATTAACTAGCTTAATGGTGAAAAATAATTGGATCTTATGAGGTGATAGGGATATAAGAGATACAAATATGTGGAAGAATAGTAATGGGCATCCTAATATTCTCAATTTACACCATTATCTGATCTTAGTAGCAATAGTATACCAAAGGATTTAAATGGACAGCAGTATATTTTCACATACCCAGTAAACAAATTTCAAGGCTCTCTTGAAGTACCTTAAGATGTCTGATATTTAACTGAGATTGAACATTACATGCAGGGTGGGAACCTATGCAACCTAACACTAGACAGAGATTACTACTTACTGTCATTCTATCCAGTTGCACTACCACAATTTTTTTATACAACAGAAAAATATTAAACACAAGCAAAGAAGCAACCTAAAGCATCTATCGTAACTAGGAAATGTAAATCCCAATCACTTGATCGATCAGAGTCTAGGCTTTTATAATGACCATTCTCCAACCAATCAGCAGCTTGGTTCTCCTCCCTATGAATGTGGCTGTAGGAAACTTTAATCCTGGCCTCTTCACATGATTTTCTTGCACTTATCAAAGTAGAATGACACCTCTGCGCTGACAAACTTGATCCCTTTAGAGTCTCAATTGAAGTCTTTGAATCTCCTTTGATGATAACTCATCCCACCCCCCAAAGACTTCACTAGTTTATGGGCCTCCAGACTCTCTCTCATTTCTGCCACTGCAATGAACGAGATACCAATTGGACCAGCTACTACTTTTATAATTTTTCCATTTGAGTCTCTTGCTATGCATCCAAAATCATATCTTCCACCCTTTTTGAAGCATGAAAGTTGATCTTTATGATATTGGGTTCTGGCAGGACCCACTTTATCCAAATGGTTTTTCTTTCTACTTTGCAGTCATTACCTGTTCTCCCTTGGGCTTCCAAAAATTCTCTTTAACTTTTTAAGGTCTTAGTTACTATCTGCAGGGGGTTAAAACTTTTGTTATTGAAGACTTTTTCATTCCTGTTTTTCCATAGGTAACATAGTAAGTAAGCCATTCTTTCCCAAAGAAGGTCAAATATCTTATCACCTTTCCTCATTTTTATTTCCAACCACCAATCCAATATGAAGTGGGAATTCATGTAACTAGGTGTTGGCAATTGACCCATAAGCACTGTCCATATTTGAGAGGCCAACTGGAAATTAATAAATAAATGGCTTATATCTTCTGGTTGTCCACAAAATGGGCTTGGATTTTTATGGACTAAGAGGGACCTAGCTTAAAGTTCCTGCCATCCAGTGGCAACCCACTGATCCAGATGAATTATTGTCAATGGCATAAGCAGGTTACATTGCTAAAATAAGGAAAGAGTTCCCTTAAATGATCCATAAACTCAATAAGCTACTATCAATGTAGTCCAGTTTCCAATAGAGATGTTCTTTCCGGCTTCTTCAACTCACCAAAATTAACCTTTTCCATGTCAAGGCCTCCTGGGGGCAATGGCCAATTGCTGTTGTCTCACTACTCATTAGCAAGATCTTCCAAATCGAACAAGATATCCAATATCAACTCTTCTTATTGATTGGATACCTCCATCAGTTTATTAGGAAGAGAAGAATAAAATGGATCAAACTCCCTATTCATTATTCAGAGATCAATAGGGCACCAAAAGCAGTAGCATCTTATGGACCTAACATAGGTTACATCCCACATGACATAAAATTGAAAGATCCACATCTTCCTCTTGGAAGTGGAACGGCCATGACCCAAACATAATACCCCTCTTCAAGGCTCCCCCCCCCCAATCCAAACCAAATAAAAAAGAACAAAACATAACTACTGATGCTCAATTGGAACAAATAAGCGTAGAGCATTTCAATTTTCAATTCATCCTTCAAATCAGATAAAATTACAGTAGTAGAATCCTATACCATCCAAATTATCTTTATTGTATGACCAATTTAGGAGATAAGTGTTGGAATTTTAATCGTCTTATATGTATATAATCCAGAAATCTAATGTTTGAGTCAAGTTATTACTAAATATGGTGACTTGGAAAAAATATCCAACAGCTATGACTGGCATAGACTTGTTTGATTGATTACTAATCTAAATAGTTACATGTGTTGATTTAGAAAAGAAAGTAGAAGAATGTATTAAAAAGAAGAAAAGAGAACACATGTTTAGAAGAGGAAGTATAAGACATGAGCCTCTTCTATTATTTATATCACTTTATACCACCAGTAGAATAACCAGCTCACCCCTGGTTGTCTGTCTCTATAACAGCACCCAAACAGAATGAAAATAACTTCTAAAGGCGCTTACAATAAGGAGCTGAAAATTAAAGTATTTCAACACATAGCAGGTGCATTGAGTACCTGTATGAATGTGGCAAGGACATCGTCTTCACTCAGTCTCAGGAACTCTACTGCCCAGTCATCCACACGACCAGAAGCACGTTTTTGCCTCTCAGCCTCAAGCAAAACAGAATCACGATACAAAAACCTCTGCCAGATCCTTTGCACATTTGCCAATTTGAAATCTATTTCCGTCTCATTGAATCCCTGTACAATGAAGGAAGACCAGTATCAATCTGTAGTATTAATTGCTGTCATCTTGCAGTAGAAACTTTTTTTTAATTAAAGTACTGCAATGGCTCAGCCAACCAAAGAATGTTAGGGAGCAGGTACCCGCAGAATCTTTATCAAGATTGGAATCTCATCCTCACGAATTCGAACAGCAAAGCTTTCATAGTTGAGCACATTTTCATATGGAAGGAAGATCCCGTCCTGAAACCATAGTAACAAAATCAATAATAATTCTAGGTTATAAGAAAACAATAAATACTTATGCTACTTGCTGACTCATGAATGTCTAGAACAAAAGGTACCCAGGGAAATAGGCTGCTCATGATTAATGACCAGAATAGTAATTGCCAATATCTGGTCATCATAGGAAACTAATCTGTGCAATATAATCTGCCATTTTTCCTGATGGGGGAAATATAAGATTATAGTATGTAAGAAAAGGAGTCTACCCACAATTGCATTTCCTGAAACAAATGCAAGTCTAGAATCCATCATTTGATGAGACCTACCTAAGAGAGACTCCATTGTAACCATCAGGTGATCATCAAGATCCTATACTATAATTGCTTCTGAACTGTCAATGCTACTCATTCATCAACCAGCATGTAATAGATTGAGTGGTTAGGATTATCAGATCAGGTTGATTATTGGTTAAAGAGACCTTGTGGAACCAATCTAGTGTGTGGTAATTTCCTAGCTGCATGGACTCCATCTCTTATTCTGCTATTGCTAAGCTATCCCTACCTGGCAGGTAACTTATATTCTTCTTCTTTATGTTTGTCATGAAACATGTGAAAGGTCAGGTTACCTGGATGACAACAGGTATGCACCCTTGCAAGATACTATCTTCCATCCGACCACTCCAACCATCTCCAGGTAACACTCCACAGAAAATGGAGCTGGCCAAATCATTGTGGTAATCTGCAGAGCGCAATGGAGTTACGATCACATCTTCTGCGTGTTGCCTCCCGAGCTTACCTTCTTTGTCAGGGCTTGATCCAAATTCTTCTGCCAGCTTCTGTCTGATACCCATGCTATACCTGGATAATAAGGGCCAAAAATAAATGTTTGTTCTGTAAAATTAAGTTTCAGAGGAAAAGGTAAGACCCCAAKTAATAAAGAATGTATCTTGGTTTACATACGTATCTTCAGGTCTGCCATCTCTATAAGCTGGTCCAAGATTTCCATTAAAGTAGAACAGTGTCTTGCGATTCTTACGGGACCTGAAATTAAAAGGCTCAATTGATTCATTGTGATTGTTTTCTTGTCAATAGGAATGTACTGTTCGCCAAAACCAGCAGAATTTAAGCAAAAGTTGAGTTAGCTAAACAAATTTTTTTATGAGATAAATACCTTGACCATAACTTCAATTCTAAGGATTTTGGATCAGGTATTTTCCATGCAGGAAGCACCAGATCTTTATCAGGGTCAAAGCATGGATGATTGCCTCTTCTAAGAGAGGAAATTTTGTCCCAGTTGTCTGCCCAATATGCTGTTGTTGAGTGGTTATGCTTTGAATTTGTGTTCCCCCAGTGGACCAACATCATGCTGTTCCAAATCTCCTTGGGAGCATAGCAAGCACCTTCATCCCATGAAAAAAACTGCCTTCAGATACAGAGGCGTCATCATTAGGAGCATGGAAAGGTGAAAGATAACAAATAGGAAGTAATTGACATTCACTCTTCTGCTGTATCAATGAAGGTTCTCTATCTATATCGTACCCAAATATGGTCTCTTCCAGAAGAACGGTTCCAGTAAGGATACTGCTCAACTATGTAATTATATGCCTTCTTATAGAAATCCAGAGTCAGAGAGCTCCTCAACCCCATGTGGTCCTGAAGTTTAAGGTAAAATAAACATTATAACTGGGTGGCAATATGCACACATACAAATACACATATGCAAGAGATAATATAGCTAAAATCTCTGTTAAATAATCCCAAGATAATTCTTGTCATATGAAATAAAAAAGTTGATTGCTTATATATAATTATAATGAGTAGGTAATGCAATTCATATAAATAGGGGTGCAACTTGGGCGGGCTGGGATGGGTTTAAGGTCAATCCAGGTAGGCATAAGGCCTGAGCCCAAGGTTAAGCCCAATCTCCCAGTCCAGGCCCAGCCCAAACTAAAACTTGACAGAGTCGAGCTGGGCTTGGGTTGGTTAGGTGGGCCTACTGGGCCCAAGGTGTCAAATGCAATCCTTGTATGATGGATGGATGGATTAGTGGATGGTTGGTTTGGATTTAGATTGGATCAAAGTTGAGCTGTGGTCGATCCAGGCTAAGGCTACCCAAGTGCTAGGCCTAGGCCAGCCCAAAAAATATAAAAAACAAAAAAAAAAAAAAAACGAAGTTTTGGGGCCAATCCCAGCCAAAGAACCAAAGTGGCAAAATCCAAGCCCTTGCCCGTTTAAAATTTCAAGTTGGTCTGGTTCAGGATCAGGTTGAGCACACCAAATTTGCACCCCTAAATTGAAATTATTAAACCTGCAAAACCATTAAAGTGGAATTTCATGAGCCAAAGAATTTACCCGCATACTCAAGTGAGGTGCATCATCTGCACGAGTTATAATGCATGAATCAAGAACTGGAACATAAAAATAGTCTGCTTCTTCACCATTTAATGTTCGATAAGGGCTAGCAAGAATGCTTTCATAGAGTGCTATCTGCAAAGGAGCGTTAGAAGAAATCAATTGTAAGCTACTTCTGATACTATTATTTTTTCTGTTGTCAAATAGAGGTCAAGTTATACCTGTGCACCATACAACTGATCTGTCCACAATGTTGCATTCTGGTCATCATAGATTCTGTTTACACATTCGAACTTGAAATGTCGACCCTGCATCACCCAAAAGCTATAGATAAGGAATATCAAAAAGAGATTTCCCTATGGTTATCAGGTATAAGGGCTAATTCCAACCTCAAGGAGCAGACTATTATACTCTGGTGGCAAATCATAAACATATATAAGAGGCCTTTTCTTTGTCACCGTAGCTTTCATGTTGATAAGATCTCTGCTGGGATGTGCATTATCAGGTAGATCAACTGTGGCTGGTCGAATCCATTGAGGCCACTCCCTGAGAGATGATAACACAGAGGGAATACTGCAATCTGTTCCATACCAACTAATATCACACTGAACATGAACAATGACCTGTTAGTAGGTTACATCAAGGAACAGAACAATAAATAGTAAATAGCTCAGTGTGATGGTAAATCTTGGCTGACAAGTGTAAGAGTCCAGGTTCGGGTCTGAAAGCAACCACTTCATGTGAAAAATACTGGAGGTTAGGTTTGTATCCAGTTGATTCCTCTCAAGCCCAAGGTTTTAAAAGGCTAAAAGAGGAGGCAAGGTGTAAGCCTCAAGGCATTACTTGCATTTAATGAAATTGATAACGTACTCCTATAGCTTAGTTTTTTGTGGCACATATTGTACCTTTTTAATTCCCCACTCTCCTTGGCCATCCCTCTTGAGATTGCACAAACTCATGAACAGAAATAAACATAATAATACAAGCATATGAACAAAACCAATTTAAGTAACTTATACAAGAGAGCATAAATTACCAGGAAAGGGGGAAATCTTATAGAGGGAATCTTAATATGATTAATCTATGGATGCAAAATAAAATAAAAGTTGTTTCCATCACTACAATATAATATAAGATCCATCCTCTAAATGAATTGAACAGGTATTACTAAATTGGCAGGGATGTTTTAGGCATGTCAAACTTTTTGTACGAGACATATCCTTTTAGTAAAGAAGTATGTGTTTTAAAGGAGAGTAACACCCTTGTGTATTGTTCTATTGTTTTAATCCTTAAGCAAATATCCTTCTATTTTTTCAAAAATTCTTTAAGCCCATTTTGAGTATCATTGTATTAGGATTTAGGTGAAAAACTTTAGGAAGTAAAGTTTTATTAGCTTTCCTCTACCATATCCTTTGTATTGTAGTTATACTGTTATATTCTTTTTTTAGAAGAGATAAAGTGTCATTTCATTAAAGCAGAAAAAACCAAGTACAACCAGTGGCTGTACAGTGGGAGACTACGAAGTAAATTAGACCACTATCCTATTTGAGATTACAAAAAGATTTTCGACTTCCAAAAGAGAACTAAGGACAGGTCCATCTAAAACTATCTGTGCTTGTTTTAGAGAGTTTTGCTTGAATTAGAATACATGAGATTGCCCAAAATAGGAAATAAGGCTGCACAAGTTAAGGTAGTAGTATAGTTCAATTTTAAATTTAAAAGAAAAAAATCTAATACAGATGCATGTTTATTGGTTGAAAGGAGATATGTATCTTATGACCCCTTTGATAAAGTAAAAATTTTTGTTTCATTTCTTTCCCTTCATGATATTCTTTTATAAGAGGTTTACACCTCTGCCTACTTAAGGTGAGAGGCGAGAAGCACATGCGCCTCAACATTTGGGGAATATGCCTTTGCTGTATCTTATGAGGCCATAAGGGCAAAAAAGTTTTGAGTTTTTTTGGCCTGCCTTGCCTCATAACCTTTAAAACACTGCTCAATACCCCATATAGCTGGGACCAGAATAGGATCACAGCCCCAATAATAGATGGTAAAGTTCAAATTCTATAATCTTTACACAGAATTTTTCACTTAATTTTAGTAAAAGATTCAACAATTGTGAAAAGAATCACTTGTACAAATACTAATCCTCTAAATTTATCCATCTACAGAATGAAAAATCCAAAAAGATCCATATATTTTGTCTTCCTTTCCTTGTCTTTAGAAAAGGACAAACAGAACAGGTAGACAAGAAGAATGGAGGACATCCTAGATATAGAAAACTTCCATCACCTACCTGACAAAATCCACCACGGCAATGCCCATGACCGGAGCATTGGTTGATACACGTGCATTGCACAGGCACCTCGCAGAACCTCCCCCAGAGACCATCATATTTACAATCACATTCCTCTTTAAATTGTACCTCTGAAGCATAGGCTTTCTGTGGGTCGACATTGCACCACCCATGTTTGCTACTATTTGTTGTAAAGACATCTAGATCAGCCTTTGTCCAGTTAGTCAGCTTGGGCCCACCAGGTGTAGAAGGTAAGCTGAAAAGTGGTTATGTGCTTCAGATCAATTTTGTGTGGAGGAATTCAGGGATCTTCAATTGAAGTTTAGAAATGAAAGCTGGGAATCCTTACTCTATTTGAAATCCACATGCCTCTGCCAGAGGACGGTTTGGATATTTTGTGCCTTCCCCACAGAAGCACATTGCCCTCGTTTTATCACAATATCTAGGACAAATTGAGACAACCCATGTCCCATATGGCATCTCTGGTGATCCTGGATAATTGCACTCCAACTGCAATCTTTCAGAGCATCCTTCTCCTGCTTAATAAGTAGATATTGTGGATCTTAGTGTATAACTGATTAGACAAAGTTACTACCTAGACATCCCGTTTTCTGTAAAAAAGAATATAATTGTACTGAAAATTAAAAAAGGAGCTATAAGATTTTACAAGAGATGATTAGTTAAATGAATTAACAACATATTTCTAAATATAAAAAAGTTTGTTAGCATTTGGAGTCAAAATTGGCCCCAAAAGAAGGCAAACAGGGGACATAGAATATGAAAAATCCTGTAAAAGGAAAAAGTGAAATATACTACAGAGAATAGGGTTTTATTGAAGAAAATCATTTCAGAAACTTCACTAGTTACAAGCATAATAACATACATCTGGGATTAGGGTGTTGGAAAAGATAACCCCATAAATAATGGTACATTTCTGAGACAAAAATGCAAGAGAAAAAAATGATATTCCCTAACATAATTGATCCTGAATAACATTTAGGTATTGCAAATTCTTCAAATTTGCCTCCCCTGTGACCCATATTTGACAAAAGTACTTAACAAGAACCTCCAGGTTACAGGAACCAGCTTCATTATGGCCCCTCACCAGAATATGGTTAAAATCCAATATTCCTTGGCTTCAAATGGAGAGCACTAAAAGGTGTAACACACTCTATACATTTATTAGACTATGAATTTTAAACCTTGAATTGATTGAAAAACAGTTTTAAACCTTGAAGGAAATGAAAATAACATATACATTTAATATTTAACTATAGTGAAAGTAATTTCCCYAAAACAGGAACATAACTTTCACTAGCTTTTATTAAGAAGAGGTATTGCAAAGCCCATTGCTTGGGCTTTAACATATGCTTAATAGGCTAAGGCACATGCTATGCACATGCATGAAAAGGCTGGGGGAATCCTAGGTTGCAACATACTTCGTTCATGGGAAACAATTTTTATTTTTACTGCCTGTCTAATTGGGTCAAGTTATAGAGAAATTTGAAAATCTACACAAACTCAAAATAAAAAAGGCTCAAGAATTATGTCAACACCAATACCCAAGAGAGTAGGAGGGTGGGTTCTCTTCATATGGTATATATAAGAGGCAACATAAATGCTAATAAGACTCATGAAACAAATAAAGTGATAATGTTAATGGGCTAAATGTTGAATAGCCAGATATCTTACATAGTTTTTGAATTCAGTGTTTCATAATAAAACAAAGCGAAAGGAAGATAACACTCACCAGCATATCCATGAAAACACCTGCACTGTCCTAGTCCCCGGTTACAAATGCCTTGACCACTGCAATCATTCTTGCAGGCCTTGCCACCTATTCTCTATTAACAAAGTGATTATAAATTACAAGCAAGAAAACAAAAACTGACATTGGGCATTCTTTAATCCTTTTCACAAGCTAAAAGGTTGACAAATCATATCCAATAAGCTAGCCTCTCTTGAAGACTTAGATCTTAAGTATGATTAACTGAATGAAAATTATGATACCAACTAACAATCAAAGAGACCCCAACAGTTAAAAGTTGCAACATTTAAGTCAACATCTAATATACAACAAAGGATCTTCATAATAAGATAGGAAAAATTTGAGAAAGACAAATCTGATGTGTTGTTGGGAGTCAAAAGCCAACAAAAACCCGATCATAACTTGAATTTGAAAAGAGACCAGTTCTGCAGGGCTTGAACCATTCTTCAAAAACCGTACCTCAATAATGTTTACTGCCTTGGTAGTTGAGTCACAACCAGAAAACCATCGTCCTATCTTGGCTATCCATGGTGCACCACGATAAACCACTGCATTGTGCAAATCAGCTGGAAACCGACTACTCAAATCCAGACGGGGTTGCTGATTTTTAGCCACATGCGCATTGCTTTCAGTTGACCCATTAAATGGGGAACAAGAAGTCTGAACTTGGCGGGTACTGAAGTAATCAACAGAAGAAGGCGCCAAAGGAAACAAGAACAGATGAACTAATGAAACTAATACCACGATAGAAGCAATGGTTGCTACCAGAGACCACGAGCATTTCCATGTCTTAACAGAGATCATCATCTCAAAAACTTTCACACCAGTCAAAAAACGTAATCAGTTTCATGAATTAACATGATCAAAACTCTCCCTATGTAACATAAACAGGCTTAAAAAGGTCCCCAGAAAGAACCATTGCAAAGATCATTCAGAAATATTTGCAAGACCACAATACGTATCTTTAACAAAAGTTCAAAAAATGGAAGACAGAAAATCAGAAACCCATTGATAAATTTCTCTTAAAATTGTTCAGTGGCAGGTTAAATAACAAATTCCAGCAAAGAAAGATAGTAAGCGAGTGAAAATAATTTCACCTGCAAGGGAACTAACCATAAAGTTTCGGGACAAAATTAGCAAACTCCGCATAGAACACCAAAACTTAAACACACACACACACACAGATTTTCAGCAGAGAGACACGAATATCCCGAATAATTCAGGGAAGATTTCAGATTATTAAAAATATTCATCTCGGTCTGATTCAAAAATTTTGAAAAATTCAGCAAAATTTAGAATGAAACTGAATAGAATCCAGAAGAATACTGACCTTCAACAAATCTAAGATGACAGCGTTTCAGACGAGACAGCAAAACGGAAGATCAAAAGGATGAAATCAACGAATTTGAAGATTCTGAATGCCATATGGCCATTGAGAGGGATCAGCCAATGGAGAAGAGCTGACTCCACCCACAACACTAATAAATAAAAAAAATTAATAATTCAATTATGAACAACAATAATGAACAATGCAGAGAGAGCGAAGGTCAATAAAAGAGCCGCCAAGGCCCTCGCTGCAAGAATTTGAACAAACTGACCCTCATATTTTCATTAAATGACGAGATTACCCTTCTCCATTCTCCACAACCAGTACCAGAGGGAATTAGTTTGATCAAGACGGAAGAGATAGAAAGGAGAAGAATTTACCCAAGAAAGAAAGTAAAAAAGCAAAAACGACAAAAAGCCCATCACAAATCACAGTAACCAAACACTCTCAGCCTCAAATGAAATCCACGTGTTTACCAAAAATAAAGAAAATCCATGTGTTAACAGCAACATTCTTTGTCGTTTTGTACTTCAGAAGTCCACGCTCTCCATGGGTCCTACCTCGGCATCTTGGYTTTTGCCCTTTTTTTACTAAAATCCCCTATAGAGGTGAGGTGAAAATAATCAAATATTTGAGCTTTGCTTGTTTTTTTTTTTTTTTCTATTTATTTGGGGTAACCAAAGATTTATAGGCCCGTTCGGTTCGCGGAAATAGGGGTTTCGAATGGAGTCAAAATAAGTTATTCCGATTTCAACTGTTTTGTTGGGTGGAATCAGAATATTGTTTTCATTMGTGCTGGAATGTWGCCCCTTCCTTCGCAATGAAATCTCATTCCTATTAATTTTAATTTTCATTTTCCATTCTTGTTTGAACTAAACAAACTATGAGATTATACTATTTTGATTCTAAAGGATTTCGATTTTGATTCTTACTACGAATCAAATAGACCTTTTTGAGTTTGAGAATTTTTTTATTGCAATTCTTTATTACTTTTATTTAAAAGAAAATCTATAATGCTAGAAAGACATGATAGCAAAAAGACTTTCTTTTTTTTTTAAGCCAATGGAAAGGATTTTACCAATCAAACCCCCCACCTGGTGAACTCTTCCTACCTTATAGAGAGACATTAGAGGTATTTAGGGCCAATTTGATTCATARAAATAAGATCGGAATGGGCCATTTTCAATTTCAACGGTTTGGTTGAATGGAGTTGAAATCCCATTCCCATTCAGGGTGGAATGGCATGTCCCAATTTGAGGGTATGGTCATTCCCTCCCCCTCCCTTGGGAAGGAAATCTTATTCTAACTTATTTCAATTCCCATTCTAATTCCTATTTAAACCAAATGGTTATAGGAATAGACCATTCCAATTCCGATTCTAATTCTAATTGTAAACCAAACAGACTCTTAAATCATCGAATATGTGTATATTAGTATTGTAATTTATCATATCAAAGAAAGTCGCATCTAAATTCAACCTGATAAACTAAATGGCATAAATTTTGTATCCAGATTCAAACTACTAAGGGTCCATTTAGTTCATAGTTAGAAATCGAAATCGAAATCAGAATCAGAACGGTCTATCCCCATAGTTTGTTTAATTCAAATAAGAATGAAAATGAGAATTGGAATCAGTTGGCATGGAATTTCATTCCGAAGAAAAGGGGGAGGGAATGCTATTACATCAGGAATGAGGATATAATTCCAATTCCACCCAATCAAATAATTGGAATTGAAATGGTCCGTTCCAACTTCAATTCCATACCCCTATTCCCATGAACCAAATAGGCCCTTAATGTATTTGAATTATCCAAATTCCATTAGATTAAATTGAATTCTTGAATCTCACATTTGGTATCAGATTTTTGGATTCGTTTACACCCCTATTTAGAATGCTTCAATGCAAATGAGACCAAGTCCAAGTTAAAATACAAACAAAGCGACCATGTACTATGTTATCTCATTGGCATTGCAAACTTTGATTTCAAAAAACTGGATGCAAGGTTTATTCAATTGTATTCCTACCTTATTTCTCTCCCATATAAGTGGATGCCCTCATTATATTACCCTCTTTTTCATTCCCAAACAACCAACATTTACTTGCCCTTCATCCTGGACAAACAAAGACAAAATTATATCTAAAGCTAAAGTAAATTAGAATTTACAATGATTAGATATGTATTTTCATGCATTTATGTTGCAAAGAAAAGGAATCTTATAGTAACAAAATCATCTATATATTAGGCCCCATTTGGTTCACAGGAATAGGGGTCTGTTTGGTTGGGTGAAATTGGAATCCTATTTCCATTCTTGATAGAATGGCATTCCCCCATTTGGGAATGGCCATTCCTTGCCCCTCCTTTGGGAATGAAATTCCATCCTGCTAATTTTAATTCTCATTCGCATTCTTGCTGATTTTCATTCTCATTCCCATTCCTATCTAAACCAAACAGATTATAGGAATGGACCATTCTGATTCTTATTCTGATTCCAGTGGATTTTAATTATGATTCTGATTCCGACTACGAACCAAATGGACCCTTATTCTTTTTAGATTTTGTAGGGATAATTTTCCCTAGGAGTGTCTGCCCCTCCTTTGGGAATAAAATTCCATTCCTGCTAATTTTAATTCTCATTCTCATTCTTGCTTATTTTCATTCTCATTCTCATTCCTATCTGAACCAAACAGATTATAGGAATGAACTATTCTGATTCTGATTCTAATTCCAGTGGATTTTAATTATGATTCTGATTCCGACTACGAACCAAATGGACCCTTATTCTTTTTTAGATTTTGTAGGGATAATTTTCCCTAGGAGTGYCTAGGGTTCCTCTGTTTTGCAACCCCTCGCTATCAAAAAATAATTAATATATAATAGTGAAYGTCCCCTTAGGTTTTCTTTGGTACCATTGCAGTTCCTACCTACAACACTTGAGGTTGATTTATATAAATTGGCATAAAATTGTTATTGTTATTTGATTGAGGCTATTTATAGTTTAAATAGGCTTTACCTTAACAATATGATTCTTTTGTTGTTGGTTTCAAAAATATATCAAAACCATCTGATGTAAAAAACATATTGTTTTTTACAAAACTGAAACCAAGAACATGTTATTGAATTTCTAGTTTCAATGACATGTTTTTATTTGGTTATTTAACATCATGTTCTATAAATCATAGAATTCTTATCTTTTAAAAATCATTATTAATTTCAATGGTCCCAAAAACATGTATTGTCTTTTGAAATAAACCAAATTGTTTGAAAACAAAAAAATGAAATCTAAGAACATTTTCTTTCTTTTTTTTTTTTTTTTTGCTAATGTGGTGACTTTTAAAACAGATGGGAACAAAAACATTTATGTTATAGAACACCCCCTAAAAATGTGTATGTGGGAGGTTGTCCATACAATACATATCTCTCACAAAATTGCATTGATCAACCCAAAATGTTTCACTAGAAATAGCAATGCTATCAAACACAACCTTAATAATCACACTAACATTGTTTTCACCCAGGATTGTGTAGCAGCAATGCGAGCGCAATTATCAAAAAAAAAAGGCAAATCTCTTAAAGTATCCCTAAGTTTTAGGAAATTAACTTACCCCTACTTTTAAGTACCTCCATTTTTTTTTTGACAATTAATTAAATCCTCCAATGCCGTTAGTGTCCATTAAAAGAAAGACAAAAAAAGACTATTTTATCTATCATTTTTTCTTTAAATTTTCAAAATGAAACATTTGAATAACACCTTGCTAATCTTCTCCTCATGGCAAACTTCCTCTATCGGCAAAGCTTCCCAACAGATAAAGATATCCAACAAAACCATTTGCAACGCAAAAAATTAGATTGGATCATCAAGACCTCTAAACAAGTGAACAAGAGGGATCATCTTTCACCCCAAAACTAGATTCTGAGGATGCCATCTTTGCTTTAGCTAGCTTCATGTGCACTTCCTATAATATCACAAGAAACAATGGATAAATTCCCTTTTGTGTTCTTGACCTTTAACCGAGTAAATATTAGAGAGCAAAACCAATCACAAAAGGATAATATTGAGTTTTAAAAAATTCTATACGAATGGATTGTGATGGAATGATAATAGACACTAATATCACTGAAAATTTAATCAACTGTTAGAAAAAATTCTCTAAATAATAATAGGGATAGAATTAGTCAATTTCCTAAAATTTCAAGATATTTTAAGAGATTTGCTAATAAATGTATTTATTATATATAGAAAGTTAAAAGAGATAAATAAATGGACAAGGACGTAAAGGCAAGGCAAACATATTAGGATAAAATTACGAATGTCGTATGTGGACCTTCTGATGACGCGGGGGGCATTGAACATGGATCAGGAATCTGGATTCTGGAGTTGAGAGGAGCTGGGGAATCTTCCAGTGGAAAACTGGGGAAACTGAAGATGCGGTGCTTATCAGTTGTGCTCGTGCGTCGCGCTGTTAATTACTTCAAGACTCAAGAGTATTAGAGTAAAGAGATCTGACCCATACAAAATTTAATGCTGTTTTAAAGTAATGGCAGGTGGCTCTGAATCCAAAAACCGTTAAGTTGGAATCTTTTGTTCCAAGAGATTCGATTGGCTGTTTCTCCTGTTCTTCCGCCCCGAAGTCCGCAAAAACTTTCGGGGGGTGGTCAGATGATTCAGATTCATTCCAACAAGACCGGATCGAGTTGCAATACAATGTCCGGTTCAACTGGTCATTGCAACTGTTGGTTGCGACGGTTGGGAAATGCAGGTTTGTATGGTGAGGAAATGCAGCTAACACTGCACATCTCATCATGAAATTTGGGAGTTGAGACCCATCATATATGAATTCTGTTGGCAGGTGTACGTTGGGAATCTCTCGTTGTAGAGGATAAAGAAATGTTTTTCATTGCACGGGGAAGTCCGTTCTTGTTTGTCTGGCATGGAAATAATTTTTGGCCTGCAGGCTGGCAAGTTTTCTCAAATCATATTGAGATATTTCAACTTTTTTGGATTCTAACATCATTTAATGTGAGGCCTGCATGGGCCTAGTCCAACCTAACTCATAAACAAAGAATAATTTAAAAATTGAAAAGTATGGACAGGCCCAATGCAGATTTTTGAATTCTTCTTTACATTTATAAACATTCAAAATGTCAAATACCTCCATTTTTATACATCAACACCTACCTATAAATTGGCATCAATTCCGATTTGGCATCTACCTCGACTGTACTTTGGGCTTAAAAATTCTGACCATGTTCTAACACATAGATCCCATCCCATCCCTTCCATCATTTACCTATTTTAGCATATTTTTATAAGATTTTCATTATTAGCCTATTGTATTCTAGAGAGAGAGAGTTTTATTTTCATCYTATTTCCATTTATTTGTTTCATATTCAAATTCTATTTAATTGGTTAGTTGTCAAAAATTATAATTTGAAATTACTAACTAGAATTAATAAAAAAATATTAAACTTTATCAAGTTTTTATCTAGTAACTATTAAAATTAAGAAATTAATAAAAATAGTATTTTGTAAATTAAATACATTTGAATTATCTTTACAAATAGCTAATATTAATATGATAATTAAATTAATAACAAAATAGAATATTAAAAGTAATAAAATAAATCATTTAAATTCTATATAAAATTATAAAAAATAATTAAAATATTAAAACTAATATTTATAAGTAGACTCCTTCTACTTAGGGATGATCGTTTATAACTTAACCGAACCTGAATAGACCTATAATTTTCGAGCTAAAGCAATTATCTTATTTTGAGCTAGGATATCCACCAAGCCCACACATAATGTGGGCATTGGGCAAGACCTAAACTAAACAACCCTTAAGCTCGACTTAAAAGTTATATACATATATGGTAAGTATTATTATATAATATTTATATAATAAATTTKATATTAATATATATATATATATGATTTTTATATATTTTTTAAAATATACTAAAATTAATTAAAATTCTGGATTTGTAGAAAGCCATAGTCTTATGTTTAACACAAGTAATCTTTGTGCTTGTCCCAAGCCTAGACAATTACACTCGGGTGGTGTAGGTTGGGTCAGGCTAAGTGGCTTTAAAACCTGTTAATTAATACATTATGAAAAATTGGCCAAAAGATCTTTTATTTTTTGGGTTCACTCAGCTACACAATGGGGTAGCCCATCCCCCAACCTTATTCAACTATAATATTAATAATTTTAATCTAAAAATAGTTAAAAACTAAAAAATAATGCATGCATGGGTTGTATTTGGTTTGGTTCAATCCAATTACAAATATCACATTGCTCTTAGGGGTGTAACTTAGGCAAATTGGGTTAAGTTCAAAGATCAACCCAATCCCAACTTGAAGTCTTAAATCTAAAGCTCAGGATTAGATTAATTTAATTATGATTACAATTTAATTTTATATATTTACTAATATTTAAGTAATATTTATAAAAAAATGTAACATTTAATCATTAAAAAGTAAAATAAATAAAACAAAACACTAATAGATCATATGGAAAAATAATTATTTTATTAAGTATTTAGTAGTAATTTATTATTTTTGTTAAACATCATTAGTATAAYTAATCATCATTTTAAATTACTAAATTATTTTTATAACAAATTATTAAAATAAAGATTAATTATTTTGAATAGGGTACAAATGGATCAGATCATGATCTGATCCGATCTGAAGTCTGATCCTATATTCGAACAACCCCATCTCAGATATTCGGATTGGATTGGATCGAATAATAGGATTTGATAAGAAATCAAATCGGATTCAATTCACCCCTGTCTGATTTGAGAAGAGTCGATCCGATATTGTTGTTTTTATTTTTCTTTATTTAAATTGTTATATATTTTTTAATAACTTATTATTTAAAAAAACTGATTCCGGGTCTGATTCGACTCAAAACCGCCAAGAACCGGAACGGACCTAAAATCGGGATAAAATCGTGGAGGTGGAACCATAACCGTTATAATGGGTTCGATCATTCGGATGTCGGATAAATCCGACCCATTGACAGCCCTAAAAATTACAGTTCGCTATAGACTAGAGCATAGTATAGAGAAAGTTCTGTAACCTCTCGAGGGCGGCACGGGACAGAGCAAAAGAGATAGTTCAACCTCGTCGCTCAGGTGACAAACCTCRCCATTACTTCTCAGTTTAAGATCGTTCTTTATCCTGCTCTTCAAGAATAGTTAGCTTCTGGTTATACCCTTCAAGTATGTGAAGATTTAGGGTTCTCCGACTATGATACCCACAAAGCATTATAACTGAAAATAACAAATCATTGGTCCAGTGTGTCAATGGCGTTATTTTTCGGTTGTTTGAGTGGATTTTTTTTTTTTTTTGAGTGGGCATGCTCTTCTTCATCTTGGTGATAGTCTTTAATTATTTGTTTTGGATGAACAATGCTTGCTTTACGGTTTTTTTTTTGTTCATTTTATGCGGTTACTTCATGAACTGAAATATACTAGGTTGGCATTATTTTAAGAAAATTTCTATCTGTTGCCTTGGATGTTATGGGTGATATCTTGGAAAGAAAGCATGGAAAACTGACTGAACTCGGTGTTGATTGAAAAAAAGAGTGATTATGGAAAGGTGGTGATTAGTGCAAAGGTTTTCTGTTACAATCCATTTGTCCAATGCTGGTAGTATGGGATGCTAATGTGTGGTATCCCACATGTTGTTGTGGGGTATATATGTGCTTGGTTCCCTCCCTCTAAAAGTTAGCTAGGGAAGAGTTCTCCTAAGGCACATAACAAATGGTATCGGAACCTACAATATGCCTCCCATTTGCAATCACGCGGCGGCGTAGGTGGTGGTGTCAGTATTGCAGTGTTCGGCTGGGACTAGGTGGACTAGTGCAAAGCCAGCCTGTGTGGGTGCCGGGACTACGGAGCATGGTGGAATGTTATGATCCATTTGTCTGATGTTGGTAGTATGGGATGCTAATGTGAGGTATCACACCTCGGTAGTATGGGATGCTGTTGTGGGGTATATATGTGCTTGGATTCCCTCCCCTCTAACAGCTAGCTTTTAGGGGTGGGTTCTCCTAAGGCACATAACATTTTCTTCAGTATCATTTTTTTTACAGTATCGGTTGGTAATTGATGCATGTATTTAACTGTTCAATTGTTTATTTGAACCTAGAGTGCAAAACTAAGCTAATGCTTACTCGAACTTGATATATGGTCTGTTATTCTTTTATGCTTGGTTTTATTGGATTCCCCCCTCTTATCTAATACTTTACCTTATTATTTCTGGCACCAGGAAGGAGATTTTAAATCTGAATTTCAACTGTAAAGATGTCAGGGTAAGTAAATAGTTATTCTTTATTGTTCCATTACTTTTGATTCTGTTCTACTTTTGAGGTTTCTGCTATATTCATCTTTTTGTAACTGTTACAGGTATATTCATGACCACCTGTGCCTCTCCTTAGGTGGTAAAATTATTGTCTGTTGTATAATTTGTTGACCATCCATGTTCATTAAAAGCAGTTAAGCTTGTTGTTTTTTCTGTATTTTATACATCATACATATAAGTAGAGGGGCATGATTTCCCAACTTGACTATCTAGATAGTTAGGCTTGTACCGTCAACAACCTTTATGAAGGGAATTTTGGCCAATACAAGTTCGATTTTGGGATGGTAATTGATGTAAGTCAATATGGTGTGTCATTCCCTTAAAAGTAGTAGCTCATAATTTGGAGATCGTGGTATACCCAATCAAGTATTTTTTAATAAGGTAAATGAATGTATATTTAAATGAATGTTTTCATGTTTTGTGAGGCAAGCATTGCCAGTCAAAATGTGTAATAAGTTGGTTGCAGATAATGAGTTAGGACTTAGGACTGTGGCAATAAAATCTTGATCTTTTTGTTTTCATGTTTTGTTAACCTTTGAGCAGCCTTTGTAGTATGGGTGGTGTCTTGCTTTTGTTTGGAGTGTTTTCATCTGTATTAGGTTAATGATTGGAAGTCAAAAACATGCATGTTGGCATTGGTGATATTTAAGAAAAAAATAATGGCATTGGTGATAAATTGTGGCTTCAGGGAAGTTACACAAAGAACTTCGGCTTCAGGGAAGTTACACAAAGAACTTCCCTGGACACCTCCCCCAGATGTGGACTTGGTTCTCTTCTATCTTGGTTGTAGGTGGACACCTCCCCTAGATTTGGCAAGCCTTTTTGACCCAAGCTTTTTCAGGCAATTGAAGAGGCGTGGAAGATTAATGTGGAGAGCCACAAGAGCAGCTATCTTTTGGTCAGTTTGGGAAGAAAGGAATAATAGAATCTAGGCATGGAGAAATCCAAGGAGGCAATTGTAGAAAGGATAATTATTATGACTATTCATTGGTTGAAAACTTTGGATTTATTTAAAGACTTCTCAGCTGAAGACATTTACAGGAATTGGGAAGTGGTGGCTTCTACAACTTCCATGAAACCTATTGTGCAGGAATTGTGGTCCCCACTAACACAACAAAGAGTGAAATTGAATTTTGATGGGAGTTCAAGAGGTAACACAGGCCCTTCAGGTAGAGGAGGAGTTTTCAGAGATGAAAATGGCAAAATTGTAGCTTTGTTTTCAGGACCAATAGGAGTAGGGGGCTCATTGAGAGCTGAGGTGATGGCCTTGCTTCAAGGTGTAAGATATGCAAAACAGTTGGGGTTACACCAAATTGAGATTGAGGGAGACTCTAAATTGTTGATCGAGTGGCTACAATCTGGTAAGTTGGGAGCCTGGATTTATAGACAGCCCCATAAGGGAAATCCACAATACAACAAGAGAGATCGGTTCATGCTTCAAATGGACAAGGAGATCAGCTAATGGTTTAGCTGACACGTTGGCTAAACAAGGGACTGTGAGGGAGAGTATGTTCTGCGCAGTTTTGTAAGAAAGACAACTGGGGCTCAACACCTACTTAGGGGTTGACAGCTGTACTTAAATATGGAAAGTTATTTTAAAGTTTTTTAATGAAGTTACCGTTTCCAATAAAAAAWGTTACACAAAGAACTTGGAGGTGCTCGTTTATTGTTTTTGGTTTGGGGAGAAAAAATCCTGTGTATTTGGTATGACAGTTACAGTGTTGGAAGTTTGCAGTGGGGGCCATGGTGCTTGAAGAGTTTGAAGTTAGCCTTTTGTTAAGAACATGTAAAACTTCTTTCTTCTTATGAGTTGTAACTTGTAAACAAGTTGTATGGGCCTATTGATTAAAAAAGAATTTATTTGGATGGAACTGGAGGATATGCATGTCAGTCGAACTGGAAACATATGCATTTTAGATGGCATTTCCTACTCTCATAAATGGAGTAAAGGATGCTCAAAAGCAAGGTGAGCTTTATTGATTGATTATTTGTGATGATTTGGTTTTGCTTAAGGGGATAGCTCTTTTTTTCCCCATGGCCATGCAAACTTATCAGAGAACAGAAGTCGTTCCATCATAGATCTAGCTAATCCATTAAGCCATACAGTTCAGCTCCTTAGGTATCCATCTAAAGCAGCTAGAAAATATATGATCTTTTTGATTAAGAAGTACAGTAAGGGATTCTGCTACATCTGATAGCATTAGAAGATCTCATTTTGCCTATGAAAGGCTTCTTGGTATAAGCCCCAAAAGGACCATCACATCAGTCCTGAAACTTGAAAGAGTAGTCATCTCCAACCGGATTGCTATGAGCCTACATGGTAAAGCCCTTGTTCCCTGAAATTCCCCCACCATTGAGTCATGGATTGCTAGGTGAGCTGTTGTCAAATCTTAGATGGTTATGTAGTGGTGCTACCAATGAATTAATTCTTTTAGCAAAAAATTTTTATTTTGTTATTTATCAAAAAAAATGTTTTTATTTTGTTTTTAGCTTTCTCAAGAAGGCCTTATAATTTTCTCCAATAGCAATCAATTATATGTATGAAAAGTATTGCATCTCTGGTCTTGATGTTGATTTCAGTTAATAGGATTTGTTACCATTGTAAATTAAGAATATCTGCTATCTCTATATCTTATGATTCATTCGTTTTCATGTTAGAAAAGAAATCCTCTACTTTGTGTCTTATTTGCTCCTTTCTACTGCTTTTGCAGTGAAGATGGTGCTGCTGCAGTTGAGACTGCTGCCCCAGCTCTAGGGGAGCCAATGGATGTCATGACAGCCTTGCAGCTTGTTCTGAAGAAATCATTAGCCAATGGTGGGCTTGCACGAGGGCTTCATGAAGGAGCTAAGGTGATTGAAAAGCATGCTGCACAGCTCTGCGTATTGGCTGAGGACTGCAACCAGCCAGACTTTGTTAAACTGGTCAAAGCACTTTGTGCTGATCACAATGTAAGCTTGATATCAGTGCCAAGTGCTAAAACACTTGGAGAGTGGGCTGGTGTAAGTATACAAAACCCTTACCACTTAAGTTTGTTTGTGATCAATTCTTTCTACCTCATATGTTTGTTTGAGCTATTATATTGATAGTTTGGCTAATAATCTGCTCTGGGAGCATGCCTTCTGGTCTGGTTGTTTGCTTAGCGGAAAACTTATATGTCCCCAGAGTTATCCATGTAGCATGATGAACTTGTTCAGGGTTGGGTATAGGATTGATATATGGACCAGAAGGTTGATCATTTGGCCTGTTATTGGTCCCTCATCCAGTGGATGAATGTGATAAGCAGTGAATTTCAACCTGCCGTTGACCCAGCTAGTTGAACCGCTCGAACTGTCACCCAGTCAAGATTCTGGGTCCAGTTTGAGTAAAACCCAGAGAAGGTAAAAAAACTGTTGACTTGGTCAAAACCTGTCTGACCTAGATGGTTGGACCGTTGACCCATTCGACCTGGTGACCGGGTCGCGGGTTGCATACTAATTGTGTATGCAAAATTCAAGAGGCCATAACTTTGCACCCCAATGTCCGATTGAGGTGATTTTTTTTATTTATTTTGGGTAACTTTTTGAGATATATGCGTCCCAAGGCACCTACGGCACCTTAGGGCCATGTACTGAATAACCCTAATTAATCTAATTAGTGACTTCATTTGATTTTCGCCTTTTTTTATCAGCTTCATTTGCTTTTCACCTGTTAACGCACAATTGTTTTTATTGTTCCATGGAAGTTTAATAGGAAAGAGAACATGGTGTTTACAACTATTCCTTTTTTCCTAGTAGTATTCACACAGTTAAAATTGTATAAGTACCTAGTTTGCTTTCCAGTTTACATTCTAGTGCTTTTCTAGATTTCCTTAGGTTGAGGACAAGAAGCCTAAAAAGTCGATTGGTTCAATGGTTTGACTTTTAGATTTCCTATTTGATATATAACTATGCAACTGGAAGCTGCCATTTTGTAGGCCTGGTTCAATGGTTTGACTTTTACATTCTAGTGCTTTTCGATCATGCCTATTATATTCATGTCCGCCTTTGTTAAATAGGTCATTTTTTATTGCAGACAATAAACTAAATGTTTACCCAGCCCTCTCCCTCTCTGGTTTTTCATGTTTTCTCCAGAGATCCTAGGACATTTCCTTGACTTCTATTTTTTCCATACAGTTGTGTAAAATTGATTCAGAGGGCAAGGCAAGGAAAGTGGTGGGATGCTCCTGCGTTGTCATCAAGGTATATATAAATGGGAGAATTTTGGTGCATCTGTTTTTGATCTTTCTTTAGTAGATTAGCTGATGAATCCTTTTATTATGAATTTTGCAGGACTATGGGGAAGAATCAGAGGGTCTCCATATTGTCCAGGAGTACGTGAAGTCTCACTGAGTGAATAGTTGATTGAAGAGTTTGGAGTTTAATCTGTAGGGACATTTTTTCCCTTTTATATTGGTAGCTTGAGGGATACCCCCTTCTTTTTGGGAGTTCTTTTTTTGAGTCTTGATTGATTATCATACTTGATTTAAGTATGATTGGTTATATTGGTAGCCTGAAGTCTTGATTGATTATCGTTCCAGTCACCCCTACTGAGAAATCAGTATAATATAGTTTCTGGTTGGGACCAGTGTATCATTTTCCTATTTAAAGTGGTCCAAAGTCGTATGGCCTTGTTTAGACCATGTCATGTTTGCCTCCAAAGTGGTCCAAAGTCGTATGAATTCATGGGGTGTCGAAGCAACAAACTCGGAGCTTTTGCTCTTGTTATATTTTTTCTTTCGAAGCTTGATGTGGTGAAACCTTCATTGATCAAGTGTTCAGGCTACGTAATGAATGAACCACCTTATTGGCTGATCTAGGGGTATGCATAACTGAGCATTGGGTGATGTGGTGGCTGATTCGGGCACATCCCGTTTTTGATTAACCTGGCACATCTCCGGTGAAAAGACAGAAAAACACCCCATGAATTCTAAGGTATAACAGTGCATTAACCGAGGGCTGACTCGTTGGTGTGTAAGCTGGTTTGTTCCAGAGTTGACACGGAATCAAATTCCATTTGTAGTGCATATTTCATTTACACTGGCCTAAATGGAGTGAGGTGCCCACCTTATACTCACACAGTCTGAGTGTAAATCCTGGTATACTGTTTTCAAACTCGACATTGTTTCATTTGTTAGAAGTGTAAAATAGAAATGATTTAAGAGGGTTATTTATTTGAGAGTGAGGTAAGAAAGATGATGTGATAATGCAAAAAACCTTGTATTTTGTATTATTTTATATGTATTTGTATTTTATATATTTGTTATTTTATATATATATATTTTTCAAACTGAGCGTTTATGAGAGAGGAATGAGGTGCAGATTTTGCATCATTTTTGGGATGCAAATTTTGCAATATTAATAATGAGATAAAACTGAACCATTGATGGGACGAGATAAAAATTTGTTATCGGTAAAACTGAACCAGATGCAAAGACTGAAAAAACTGCAAGAGTTTATTATTCAAGCAGTTATTATTCACGTCCGGTACACTTTATTCACCAGCATAGTGTATTTTTGCATCCTCTACACTGACCCTATTCCCTCATTTTTCAAATAAAATGTGTAGTAAAAAATAAATAAAAGAATTATTGTGGGTATTTGAAAAAAATAATAAAAAAATAATTATTATATACCATAGAAGAAGAAGGTTTAGTATTCTCTGTTAGAAAGTGTGCAWGGCTTCAAGAACCAAAACATATCCAGGGGTTTTAATTCTGTCCTAGCTGCAGCAGCTGTAGCAAGCCTTCTATTTCTATTAGCAGTGCCTCTATCTCCATGCTCCTCTTGTTTTGCTTTATTGTCCTGCTGCTTCGTTTCCTGAAGAATTCCCCTCTCCTGCTGTGCCTATTAGATCAAAAAATGAACTAGTATCAGCAGCCGTTGATCATGCATAACCACATTTTATATCGTCATGGGATGAGGATCTATGGATGTGTTAAATAGACCTGGCAGGCTGGCACATCTCTGGTCAAAAAGACAGAAAACTTACTGTGTTTACAATGATTTTATTCTTATTATTCAGGGTTATTTTTGCCTTTCTAAAGCATCCTTTTGTACTTATTACCAGGAATAGGATTTGGCCTGTTCTCTTCTCAATCCGACCCATAATTAGGGAATTGGAGTTTCCACGTCATACACCCACTCACAGCCGTGCATTTGGAACATCTACTATCAATGAAAACATACAAATACGGAAGATGTTCCCAAAATATGTGGCTGCAACTTACTATGAGGTGTGAAGACCATTCGGTACAAAATTCATAATAATCTGGGCTGAATTGAGATCTGTTCCCAACAAAAACTGTTCCAACACACATAGGTCATATGTTGGAATAGTTTTTTATTGAGAATAGATCTGGTTTCTCTTCTCAGTAAGTGAATTTAGATMTGCTCCTCAGAGAGCGCACCTCACACCGACCACACAGCACGTGTAGCCATGTATCTATAGAACATCTCCGTACTTGAAAATGTTTATTTATAGGAAAATGTTTTCAAGTAAAAAATTGAGAATCTAGCCACACATCGGAAACATCTCCCCATAAATTTAACATACCGGAGGTGTATTTCCGATGTGCAGCTGCTGGATGTTATATATGATAATATGAATAGGTTTTGCTTACTGGAGATCMGGGCTTTTAATGACCCATTCAGAACTTTGTTCCTGTGGGCTTGTCAACCTACCGTGGGTTTGGGCCTGGAAGGCCTGAGTGGAGTGGTGGCGATTGGTTTGGTGGTAGTGGAACAGTTGGGCCCACGAGCACGAGGCGTAGAAAAGCATTGAGGAGAAGGAGGGCACGTCCGAACTTGCAACGACAAGCTTTCTTCTCCGCGCTTAACGTTCTTCACATCCACGGTGATTTGTGGGACCTTTTCATTCTCATCAGTTTCTCTGCGAACAGCAACAATAATAAATTAGACTCATCTTAAGATTACCCTGATCGGATGGTCACAAATGGCGCATCAGCATTGATTAAACTTCGACACTCGCATCACTAAGCAATGGTTCTAACTTCTGACTTCTGACCTGGCGGACTGTACATCGGATCCACACAGATTGGATCAGGACCAATGCAAGGAATTACGAGTTGTGAGTCATCAGATCGGATGGTCAGTATCATCGGATCTTAGTTCTTTTAACCAGTTCAACGGTAACTTACTTCCTTGGCCTCTTCTGTTGTTTCTCTTTGCCATTGCTCTTCTCTGTTGCTTCAGAATTCTCCTTTTCAGCCCCAAGCAGAGGCTTCTTTTYTTCTTTCTCCTTCTCGCTTTCCTCTCCTCGGCCACCACAAGTCTGATCGGATTTCTCGCCATCCACTGCGTTCTTTTTTGCATTCGATTTCTCCAATTTCTCTCTCTCCTTCGCTCTCATGGCCAATTTCTTCAGCTCGTTGCAGAACTCCGTTATCTGATTCAATATATCCCGTCCGGCGAAGAGATTACGAGCCGAAAGGGTGCTTTTCAGCTGCGGATATCGATCGTTTTGCGATGTGTCTGCATGGGAAGGAGAATCATCTAACAGTTTCTTCCTTTCCGTGCTCGATTTGATAGCCGCTTTCTTGATTTTGGCTTCATAGTTCTGAAGAGGAGAAGAGAAGTTCGGATTGTTGTTTTCGATATCTTGTTGGAATCTGCGTGGAGGCTTAGATGGTGTAGTCGTGTCGGATTTTAGAATACGAGGCGAAGAAGCTGAAGAGGGAATGAGTCCTCTCCTTTTTAGATTTGCATCTCTAAAAGAAGAAGAGAACACTCGGATCAGTAGTGAGATAGAACAAAATGGAGCTCCATTGAAGAACTGAAAATGTTGGGAGTTTCAATATTACTTGCGATTTCGATCGCCTAATGGAAGGATTTCAGAAACGCTTATTGATCTCAGATGCTTCGCCTGTTTAAAGAGGGGAAGACAAAAATTAAGACAATGAACAAATGGGAGAAGAAAACCTCGAAAGGAGACAATGAAAATTCTGCAAAGATCGAATCCTGGAATTTATTATTTCGTTTTGGGATCAGAAGCTCAGAACCTTTGAAGTAGGTGTCGATCGAAGAAAATCTTCTGCGATCTTTGGATGACGACACTCTACAAAATCGAAAAGAAAATTTTGTTGAAAGAAACGAAAAATGCCAGTTCTTCTTTTCATAGAAACCGAGCAGAAATCTTACCGGGCCTACAGAACCAGGCTTCATCATCTACATGTTCATCGGGAGCAGATAAATCGACCCATTTGGGAGCATTTATGTGCTCGTACAACTCGTCCTCGACGAATCTGGAGTCGATGTTCTTCCAGTCTATTTTTGCTGGTTCCATTTCTACGAAGTACCTACGAAAACGAAACAAAAATGAAAACCAGAAAAAAAAGAAAAGAATCGATCAAAGGAGAGAGGAATACAGAGCAGAAATGAATGAGATAACAAACTTTCTCGCAAAGTAGGAAATCGAGCGAGCTGTTCTTCAATTCGAGATGTCTCGGAGCTGCGGATGCTACAAGAAACCCAGAAAGGAGATGGATATGAACAAGGAGATCAAGGGTTCTTTGAAGATTGTGTGCAATGAGACAGTTGCGTAGTTGCAGAGAGAAAGAGAGGGAAGGGTAGAGCCTAGAGTCTTGGGAATGTATTGTGATTTTGTAACGTTGGAGGAGACCGGAGAGAGTGAACGTTGGAGTGTGTTACGCTTTTCTGACCGTTAGAGGTTCATCAATTTTTTTTTTCTCCCTTGGTGGTCCCTTGTTGGCTGGACCAGGAACGATCAGGTACGTACTCATGTGAGAACCGTCAGATATGAACATTTTATCGAGAAATTAGACCGTCAGATATGAACCTGGGAGCAAGTAGGAATGTAGGATCCAGCTTGGCTAGAGTTTTCCTATTAAACCTGGAAATTGGAAAAATAGATAGTTGACCTCGAATCACGGAAAYGAAGCTCCGTAAATCAGGTGTATCAAAGGATGGCGCACTTCGAGTTCGCATCTCCGCCCCACCGCCTGTCGCCCCACGGCCGTTAGCCCCAAAATGAGTCCAAGTTTCCTTTCTCCCATATTCCTGCCCCTTTAATCTCAAATCAACATTTTAAAATACCACAAAAAAAAAAAACGAAACAGTTTTGGCTACCGTTTGTCGATTGTCCGATTTGAACGGATGGGCCATTTTTACAAATAAATTAAAAAATAAAAAATAATTAAAAATAAAAACGGTCAAAAAYCATTGAGTGGGTCGACAACTCGACGGTTCGACCGCCTGAATCAACAAAACTGATTGTCTAAACGGTTCAATAGGCCGAATGATCCAACCATCCGCATCAACGGTGGTTCGAAAACCTTACCTCAAATCGTGTCTGACCCCATTCTACTCCCCTCTGCCCAAGCTTGGATCCAACTCCATTTCTGGCAACAACAATCGCTCCGACCAATTCACCRTTACCAGGTACACTCTAACCCTCGTATTTTGTTTTGATATTTGGTTTTTTCATTTCAAATCAAAGAAGCCCTCGTTTAATATTTTATTTTTCATTTTAAACCAGATAAACTTTTTTCCCCTCTTCTAACTCCCTCTCCGGCACCGACAATCGCTCTGACTAGTTCACCGTCACCAAGTACTCTCCAACCCTCGTATTTTGTTTTGATATTTGGTTTCTCCATTCTAAATCAAGGGAGCGCCTTGTTTCTTTGATTTGGAGAGTACTTGGTGACAGTGAACTGGACGAAGCAATCGTCGGTGCCAGAGATGGAGTTGGATCCGAGTTCGGGCGGAAGAGAGTAGAATGGGGTCAGACATGATTTGAGGTTGGGGGGTGGGAATATGGGAGATAGGTATTCGAACCGCCGTTGACCCGGACAGTCAGACCATTCGGCGCAGGAACCGTCCAAGCAACGAGTTCCATTTTACCTCAAACCTGGTATTTGGCCAAAAAACATTGAAAAAGTCAACAACCCATTGACCCAAGCGGTCAAACCATTGACCCGTTCAATGATTTTTGATTGTTTTTAATTTGTCAGAATGGGTCATCCGTTTGAACCGAATGGTGAGACCGTCAACCCAGAAACCAATGGCCAAAACGATTCTATTTCCGAGTCATTTTTTAAAACATTGTATGGGAGAAAGGAAGTTTGGGCTTGTTTTGAGGCTAACGACCGTCCCATTAGCCCCGCATGCGGGAACGCCCCACCATGTGTGACTGGACATGTGGTAGGCCCACATTGTGTGGGGCGTTTGTGGGGCAACAGACGATGGGACGGAGATTAGGGGTGATCATTTCAGCCTGGCCCGCACAAGCCCGAGCTGAAAATTCCAGGCTTGGGCCTAGGTTTTGTGTTCAGGCCTGGCCCGGGCCCGGGCCCATATCAGGCCCACAAATTTTAGGGTCGGGTTGGGCTTAATACTTCAAGCCCGACCCGCATATATTTAAACTTACACATTTTGTGTATAATGTATACATATATATATATATATGTTATTTTACATTAGATTATATATTTTATATATAAATATTATAACATGACATGTATAATTTATATTATATGTAATATTTTATATTATATAATATATAAAATAAGTTTATATGCATGTTATGTCATTTAATATAAAATATTATAAATATGTAATGTTTTATATATGAAAGATATTGACCCAAAATCAGGCGTGACCCAGTCCGACCCGGGCCCATATAAACCTGGGTTAGGGCTTATAATTTARGCCCAAAACCCCAGACAGACTAGACCCGGGCCTAATATATAACCCTTATAATAAGTGCAAAGCCCGGCCCAAGCCCAACCCATCCCAGCCTGACCCCTGATCACCCTGGCGGAGATGTGAACTCGCACACTTCGGATATCCTACCTATGAGCCCTTCCCACATACTTACCGGACATCACCGCCTTACATTTGGGATCTGCTACCCACTAGTTGTTCTCACATTCATACCCCCAAACCACCACCACGATGTATTGGAAACATTGCAAAAGTGATATTTCCAACACACAGCTGTCATGCCTCGTAGGTAGAGATGTGAAAACAGCTCGTGGGTAGGGCGGCGGATCCGAGCCCCTTATGATAACTTCTCCGCAATCGAGTGATCTTCTACTAACAGAATATATTTCAATCCCCTACCAATTTGATCCTACACCACATAACTCTCATAATGAGATTGGGACCTATTATAAAAATGGGACCTGCCATGAATGAGATGTGCGGTGTGAGATGATATTGGTAGGTTAGAATAAATTTTATTGGCAGGTGATCCGGACTCGCTTTTCTGACATCAAAATGGGACCCACCTCCTGCCAACAAAAAACGTTACAACATCCTTGTTAACAAGGTCCACAACTGCACATCTCCTCACCTTGGGACTGAGACCTATCACAAAAGTGGAACCCATTATGTATGAGATGTATGGTATCAGATTATGCTAAGAGGATGTTGAATGTATTTTGTTAGCAGGTGATCCCAACCCGTAACAATCAGATTTGCGAGGAGTTCGGATAGGGGAGAATGTGGCCAGTGATGTGTTGTGATTAGACCTGTTCATGGATCAGGCTAGGCTGGGTTCGGGCTGGGCTTTGTATATGTGTCAACAAAATATTTTCAAGCCCAAGCCTGAGCCCGATCCTACCATCGGGCCTAAGTCTTGAGCTCGAGCCTGGCCCTCATATAAAAACTTATGAACCAAAATGATGGTTAACCGAACCGGTCAACCAGTTAACCGATCGACTTTAGTTCGGTTTTGGTTGCCGATTTTCTAAAAACCGATAACCCTAGTTCAATTTCAAAAATAAGCCCACGATTCGATTAACCGAACTGTCAGCACCCCTATATATTATAACTATCAACAAAGTTGGTTTAAATGTCGAATTTTCACTACATTGTCATATGTTCAGGTTTCATATAAGTACTTTTTAATTCATTTTGTTCATAAAAATATAATATTAAAGTTGTTGCTGCCAATGATGGGGCCGAGGAYAATAAGGTAATTTTGCTCTTTTGATCGAGGCCAACGTGTCCAACATGAAAATAAGAGAGTATACGTTAGAGGCCTCGGGTGTTGTCTCAGGGGCGAAGACTCCAACAGTAAAGTTAGTCAGGCATATGAAAGGAGTCATACCAGGCTTGAGACAAGGACTAAGATGTGGTCACTCTAGAACAAGAGCAGTAATGAGCAAGATGATTTTACCATAATCTAGGCACCCCCTTTTATATTTGACCTTGCAAAGGAGTGGTTAAGGGTTGTTAGGGATGGATGGCCAGATCTCATCCGGCCGATGCCACATGGCGCAATCCTAGGCCTTGCCATATGCCCCTATATCAAAAGTCATTTTAGATCATTTTGTTAATAAAACGTAATACTTTGATTATTTTTAGTCTAATTCATTTATTCAATTTAATATCCAATTATAATTCAAATTCGATTTGAATCAGCTATATATCCAATGGATATAATCTGATTCTAATTCGGACATAAATGAATCAAATCTGTATATGTCTATATAGACTCGATTCAATCCATTTTCCTTCGTACATGAACTCATTGTTTATATTGTTTGTCAGCATTCCYCCTAACAAAGAACATTTGTATTTGAAGTTTTAGGTAACCATCATATAAACATTTTGATTTTACACTATGAAATATGATAGTATGTTTATTTGTATGTAAATCAATTATGATATTGGAAAGATATTATGTTAGGAAAACCTATTACCAATCAACCAGTATCTTTTGTAATCAACCAAGTGATATTCATCAAAATTCACGGAAGGGGCAGTGTTTTGATCGATCGAAGCTCCTCCAGTATCATAACTCAGAACTTCATCCTAAACTATCATGCCAAATGCTAGTATGTGGAAAAGTGCGGGCCGTGAGGGATTGAATGTTGTATTTTACCCTCTATTAAAAGATGTAATTAGAGGGCCCGCGGGCGGCCTGCACAAGGTGCAGGCCATCCCGGGCCATGCCACCCTCCCCTAAGATAATTGGGGGTCGGCCCAGCAAGGCCCATGGCCCAAGCCCATGTGGGCCCATGCCATGCCACGGGCCAGGCTGGTTCGTGGGTCAAGCCTTGGACTAGACTGGGCTGTGGATCGAATCAAAGCTATTTATTTAYAAAAAATTGAAAAAAAAACTTAAAATTTTAATTATGAATTTTGATGTATATAATAATTAATTAAATTAATATAATAAAATTGAAAATAATTATTTATTTTATTATATATATAGGTTGTGCCAGGCCGGGCCGCAGACGACATGGCCCACTTGGTCGTGCTATGTTGGCCCTGCCTACGAACCTAAAACTCCGGGCCCAACACGGCCCACATGATTGTATCAAACCTGACACAATCCATAGACCATCGTGCCAGGCCATGGCAGCACGGCCCGATTTACACCTCTAGTTAGTATTTAAGAAAGATTGATAGGCTCAAGTTTCATATAATTTAAATTCATATTTCAAATATCAAAGTCATTTTTTATTCATTCTGTTCACAATAAATAATACTTTGATCACTTTTGTTTAACTTGCTAATGTTATTTAATATCCAACTATAATCCAAATCCAAAAATGAATCCGACAGGACAAAACTCAATTGATCAAGGTATATGCAACTCGATCCGTTGCAGGTATAGCTTATATGGACTCATCTTCCACATGTTTTCCTCGGCTCGCTCTAACAAGAAGCAGCAGTCCATTGCACTTCTAAAGAAAAAGAAAATAGAAAAGCAAACTTTTGTCAAAGTTTCATCATTGATCAGGTGAAACCATAGCTATTGTATGAAGTTTAAAGGCAACCAAACTAACCAAGGAAATTGCAAGATATGGAGTCGGGTAAAAACACTTGACGCTTTGTTTTCGGTGCCAAGGATAAAAGCACTAAAACACTGTCCAACAATGAAGGCTAACCCAACCCTATGAATGTGTGGTCATAAAAAGGCCGGTTGCTTCAGATACATGAATCAACTGTTCATTATCCATTTTACAGTCACCTCATGTAATGGACCTGGAAACAACTTTCAGTGGTTGAGAATGTAGCTGTCTTGTACTACAGTTAGCCAATTGGGCAAAAACACTTCAATTTCTTATGAGAAAGCTTATGGCTGATAAGGATCCCACATTTCTACCCCAAAAACAAGAGGGCTCTCATCTCTATTATATGGATTTGGATACAAAATTTACACTAAATATTGGAAGTATACCCTTTACAGGTATACGGGTATCATAGGTTTCCTTGTTAGTTAAGCATCGACTCATTTCAGAATCAACCTACCTTGAAGTAGGACAACAATAAATTCTCACCACGTATAGGTATATGACCATCCAGATCGGCATCCAATACAAGGCAAAACTGATATTATATAAAGAATGAATGTAGTGTTAAATGTCGTTGATAGTTAAAGCATAGTATGGATATGTTCATTCCAAATTCCAATATATGGAAATATCAGATCTCCTTGGGCATTCATAATTCACAGGGTTCAAAATCTGAATCTTCATAAACTGTGGCAGATTATCAAGTCCCAACTTTCCACATCCTAAACATTGATCTCCTTCAAGTATTCCTTTCTCCCTACTCAGATCACATAGCCTTCGTTACGTTCCACTCCTGGTTTACTGGTGTCGCATTTCTCCATATTCATGAAAGCAACAAAGCAAAAGGGGGAGAATCAAGTACTAGCACAGGAAGCTATGCTAGTTGTGAGAGTTCTGATGTCTTCAACCACAAGGGGTGGCCCACCATAGCACGTCCATGGATGGCAAGGTAAGATGCATTTAACCTGGTTATCAGAATCAAACATCAATAATGAATCTACAAACAAAAGAAGTTCATTAATATATGAGAAATATATTATACAAGAGTAGGTAACTGACTTGTCAACATCTGGTGTAGCCAAAGGATCATAGGGTTCCTCCTTTTGTTCCACAGCTTGGACAACACCGGTCACATTTGCCATTTCTTGAGTGCCGTCAGCCTGTAAAGCAAGTGTATAAGAAGATTATAATATAACAAAAGTACATTTGAACCAATTTTCAATGAATATGCATTATATCAAGGAAAAGTTGTCTAGTCACATCACAAACATCAACATAATAACTGTTTTAAGAGACTGTGCAAGGGAATCAGAACTTGGAGCAATAATAATCCAGGCAAAGGTGCACAAATGGATAATATTAAATTGGGTTCGAATATGATACTGGAAATATATATCTGAAAATTTTGTGACCAATCAACCGGTATCATAAACATGTTACTAATCAGGTGGTACTTATCATAATTCACAGGTGGGTTTTGATTGGTCAAAACTCTTGCAGCCGAGTATACCACTTGGCTACTAGCCAAGCCTTGTACCTCTCAATGGTGCCATCAGCATGGTATTTGATAGTGAACAGTTACATCCCACCGATTCCTTCCCATGAGGCAAATCCACAATACCCCAAGTATTGTTTTTGCACAGTGCCTCTATTTTAGTTCTCATAGCCCTCCATTCTGACTTAGACAAGGCCTTTGTAACTGACTTGGGTATATAGGCTGAGAATAAATAATGGCTAAGAAAGAATAATAAGGTGGGGATAACAAACTGTAAGATTAGGTGTTTGGGAATACAATGTGCTACATTTCCTCTTACCTTTTCTCATAGCAATAGGTAGGTCCAAGTCTGGGAAGGGAGGTTTTGGAGCAAGTGGTGAGGGACTTGTCCTTTCTTAAGGAGTTAAGAGTGTCTGAGGCTTAGTTATAGATGGGGGAACAACCTGTTCATGCCATAGTCTTTGTCTCTTGTACCACCTCTAAAGAATAGGATGAATAGTAAAAAATGGAGGGCTAGTAGGAGGAGGAGGAGCAGGAATGGAAGAGCCGAGAGACGAAGGCTCTACCATTGGAACAAAAGGATCCATTGATGACTCAGCCCTAAGATCAATAGGAGAAGGCAAAGTTAAGTAGTGAAGCAAACAACTCAATGGAATGCTCCCCCTCAGGAGGATGACCATAAAAAGGAAGTGACTCTGCAAAGATARCATCAGTGATTTAAAAGGCGCGCCTAGGCGCATAGGCAAGGCGCATTTTGGGGCATGTGCCTCGCCCAAGTCCTAGGTGTGCGCCTTGCGCCTTGYGCCTCAGCCCAAGTGTGTGCCATTTTAAAATTTTGCACTTTTTGCTTTTTTTGAGTCTAATGGCTGGGCCGGGGGCTCTGCCCCCAGTCCCCCAGCCACGCCACTCGAGGCAAGCCCGAACAAGTCTATGTTAGTGTCTGAAATTCTTATTTCTCACATAAAAATAATGATTTTATAACTTCCATTGCCTTTTAAGAAGATATTTTAGAATGAATAACATTAGCAAATAGGGGGTTCTTGGAATCAAGAATGCAATATGTTTTACATCACATTAACTACTTGAAGAAATGCAATTAAGGAAAAAAATGATTATGGGTTTTTCATGCTTGAAAATCCTTTATATGTTTGCTTTTATTTTTAAATTTTCATTTGAATACACTTTACATGTTATGTTTATATATTTTAATTTTAGATAATAGGTTTTTTAAATCATTTATTTTAAAATTTAAGTTTATATTTTTATTAACATTATGTTTAATATTTTTTGCATTTTTTAAAATTTTTTGGCATTTTTTTAATTTTCTAACTTTTTCTTATTTTTTAGCTTTTTTTTGTAATTTTGCGCCTTTCTTGAAAAGGTGCGTGCCTCAAGTGCAAATTGGCCCTTGTGCTTTTAAAACATTGGATAGCATCCATGGAGACAAAACGAGTTCCACTAGTGGGATCAAAACAGCAATATGTGTGGAGGCATACTCTTAAGAAAATGCACTTTCGGGCCTTAGGTTCAAACYCATGTCTCTGAGTGCTAGGAATATGAGCATAACATGTGTAACCAAAGACAAGAAAGGGAATAGGGTACATTTCACTCTTAGGGAACAAGACAACAAAAGTAGATTTGAACCCCAAGACTCGAGAAGGCGTGTAATTAATAATTGCATCAACCCAAAATCTCATTGGAACATGGGAGGCAAAAAGGATGCTCCTGGCTACTTCAACAATATGTCAATTCATTCTCTCTCTGCTCTAGAGTACGCAAACAAGAACTCTAATGTATAACCCCAAACCGCTCAAAGTATGAAGCAAGATCCTTCTCAAAATATTCATTAGCATTATCTGATCAAAATATCTTGATGAGGATTGGATAAGCACAAATTCATGAAACAGCTTCACAAGTTTGGGTACTTCAGCATGGGATCACATAAGGTAAAGCTAGGTTAATGAGAAAAGTCATCAATAAACAAAATAAAATATTTATAACCACCCATGCAAGGTAAATGGTATGCCCCCCACACATCATACTTGTAGAATAAGAACTTCTATAGTGCTTTGACAACTTGCATACCTCACAAAGTAAACTTGACACCTTAGTTTCCAAAACACAGCTAGAAACAAAAGACTCAACGAAGAAAACGAAATATGACCCAAACGATAATGACATAACATAATACAACTGATTGACCTTGACACATTTGAACCAAAAGTTGCTCTCGGAGGTAATATTGGACTCTATCTAGGCATGTCTAACAGGTATATCCCATTCACCTCATGGCCACTCCAAATCATCTTCTTTAATCTAGGAGGTATAAGCTCTGGATGTAGTTTCCAACAAGTATCCCTTGTGTGCTTAGGTTTCTTGCAATACTCCCATACTACATCTTTCTTCTCAGTACTAGCCCTTAGCTTCACTTCATCCCAACATTTGCAAAATGATCCGTTGAGGCCTTTGTAACCTACACCTGTCTTTGACTTTCCTCACTACTAACCATGGCATAAGCTTGGGACAAAGTAACTTCATCTTTTGCTAGAATATTCCGTCTGATAATGTCATACTCGGGATTGAGTCCAATGAGGAACTCAAAGACCCGATTTCTCTCCACTAACTTCCTATGAGTCTCAGCATCTTTAGTACACCCCCACACAACAGTCTCCATCAAGTCAATCTCCTACCAAAGAAATTTCAACATAGAAAAATAAACAGCCAAAGGTTTCTCCCCTATCTTAAATTATTGACATCATTCTTCAACTTGTAGTCCCCAGCAACATTCAACTTGTAGGAATAGGTCTCCGCAACACTACCCCCYACCTCTTTTGCAATCTCCATCCACAAGTAATGTTGATTGATATGAGATTGCAAGGAATTTATTAACCAGCCTACTAATATTTAGTTCTCCTGCATCCACCTCTCATAGGTAGGGTCACCCTCCGTAGGTTTCTCCTTGGTTCTAATAATGCACCCCCCATTTCCCTCTACTACAAACATGAATCTTTATAGACTGAGACCAAGCTAAAAAGTTGGTTCCATCCAACTTTACTGAGGCTACTACCCCTAATAGAATCTCCACAAACCCTCCTGGACCAAACCTAAAATCRGTCAAGAGTTTCATCTCACCTCCACTTCGCTCCATTGGCCAAACGGAGACAAACAAAAATCAAAATAGGGTGTTACTAGTCAAGACTTATTGTACTAAGTAAAAAAAAAAGCTCTTCAAATAGCCAAATTAGGGTTTTCACCGGACCCGACAAAATGGGATAAAGGGAGATAGTCTGCTAACTCCTACCAAAGGCTTCAGAAACCTTTCCAACTTGGGTCAATCTCAAAGATAGTTATAATGCTTCTTTTCTATCCCAAGTGCCACTTCCAGAATCCCTCTATACCCTGTAATCAAAAGGCTCTTTGCACCACCCTAACTGTTATAACTTCAATGATATATTCTTTATTCCTTTCCTTTTCAGAAAAGGTCCTTGAATTCCTTTCTTCCCATGTACAGCATATGGCAGCTCTCACACACCTACACATAATTTTACCACTTTTCTTCAGCCACCTAAAGAAGGAAGCAGCAAACAATCCTTGTATACTTGGTGGGGGGATCCATCTGTAACCAAACAAAGACAAAATCCACTCCTAAATATCAGAAACAAAAGGGCAAGAAATTACTAAGTGGTAGGAGCTTTCACCATTAGCCTTGCACAGGATGCACCAATTTGGAGATAAGCACCAATTAGGCCTTTTTCTTTGGAGTAGGTCACAAGTATTGCATCTTTCCAAGAAGGATTCCCAACAAAAAGCCCCAATCCTCGGAGGGATCGGTTTACCCCATACTTCATTGCTATTAGCAATGAGCACCAAGGACTTAAATAAAGAAAAACAGGAAAAATAAAAACACCAAAGGGGGATTGAGTCAAAGTTCTACTATCCCTTTTTGAAGGGTCCAATACCACCCCATTCAAAATCTAGATTAGATCCAAAACATTTATAAATTTTTAATCCGTAAGGCCACTTCTAAGACCCAAATCCCAATCAAACCCAAAGTTTGACTTAGAATGGACCAAAAAGTTAGACACAAGTTCCCCTTATTATCGGGAGAGAAAAAAATAAAGAGGGAAATTGATCTTTCAAAGGCACATTTCCCACCCAAAGGTGCTTCCAGAACTTCACCTGATTCCTAGAACAAAGATCATACCTGATGTACTGCAAAAAGGACAAAGAATACCATGTATAGATCTCCAAGGAGAGGATCAGGTAGTCCTTGCCAAAACCCACAGAGTCCTAGCCATCATCTACCTGACCATAAATACTCAATGTTACCTTAGCCCACAACCTATCCCTATCCCCTGCTAGCCTCCACAACCACTTCCCAAAAAAGCTTCATTTCTCTTCCAAATGTTACCTAATCCCAAACCTCCTTCAGCCTTACTCCTAGAGACTATTTCCCATTGCACCCTATGATCTTTCCTATTCTCCCCTAGGTTCCCACAAGAAATCTCTCATTAATTTTTCCAAGACTCTACTTATTCTCTCTGAGATCTTAAATACAGATAAATAGTACACTAACAAGCTAGACAAAGTGGACTTTATCAAAGTGATTCTWCCACCCAGAGATCAATAATTCTTCTTCTTCCAAGAGGCTAACCTTTTTGTGAATCTATCAATTACAGAGCTCCAAAAGCTGTTATTCCTCGGATTATCCCCTAATGGCATCCCCAAATAATTCAAGGGCTACTGTGATACCACACATCCCAGAATTTCATCCCTCTCCAACATTGCTCTCTCATCCATGTTAAACATAGTGCAAGAGAGAGAGAAAACAAGAGAGCAACCCTAGAAACAGGAGTGAAGGATCAGAGAGCAGTAAATCCTATGAGAACGATCAGACTACTGCTTACAGGAAGTAACCAGGAGTGAAGAAAAAGGATCAGAAAACAACCTACTCTTACGAGAGAGAGAGAGAGAGAGAGAGAGAGAGAGAGAGAGAGATTTGTACTGGTGGTTCTGATGATGACCTCACCCAAACAAAAGAATATTTGTATTATTGTAAGGACAAATCTGTTCTTACAAGAATAAGATAGTTCCAATATGGTACAAGAGCAGTTAAAAAGAATAAAAGAAGATAAAATTACAATATTAACCTCCATTATCTCTACACTCACAGGGTATTCAGATTCCTAAATATAGAAAGAAACCTTCTTAACAGAACATCTAAGGAAAGATGAGAGGGTTGTAGACTATGATTTGGAGATTGAGAACAGGGATGTTGAGGAGGGGGAAGGGATGAAAAGAAGTCCTTTTTTGAAGTTAGAAGAGAGAGAGAGAGAGTAGTTTGTGGTTTCATTTTTCAAGGCTAAAAATATGAAGGATCTAGTGATTTGGTGGGGGATGAACCATAAATCTGACTTAAAATATTTGTCAATTTGTTGGCTCTAGATAGGATGATGAGTCCAAGAATTTCAGTACTGCTAATGTTGTCTTTTTGAAGAGTTTAAAGTGTGAACTTTTTGTTTGCTTATTCGTATGGAACTTCTTGATAATTTTGTTGGGATGGTGTAGTGGTGCAGTTGATGGGAATGATTTCAGTGTTTTTTTTTCTTTTTCTGGGTGATTTCTTATAAGCTATCCTCGTAATTACTTCTCTCTTTCTTCTATTAATGAAGTTTATTTTGTTATCAAGAAAAACTAAAAAGATAAGCAGCATATAATCAAGTATATTAAACTAAAATCGGGGGCATTTTGTGCCAAGCCAATGCTTCCTTACCTGAGGGTATTGTGCATATCCAGCATAAGCACCATAGGCATATAAAGATGGATCATGAGTAGCCCCATAAGCATAAGCTTCATAACCTTGTGCATAACCATAATAAGCACTGCTCCATTGGCTGGGGTCGACTTGCTGACTCCAAATACCAGTTTGGTCCTGCAATAGGGTGGGTGGAAGAAAGCTTGTCAAGGCTGCTACAAAGTTGATATGATAAATTATTTTCTATATAAGAAGCAATAGAGAGTATGCATAAATTTGCAGACACAGTCTTAAGTTTAACCAATAGAGTGCTAGTTGAAATCTCAAACCATACTAATCAGTTGTAGTTCGTGAAGAACTTCAGTCTCCCAAACAACTTATTTAGCATTTCAGTACACAACATCCAATGTCACTTACCTGTTTCTTCTCCTAAGTAAGATGTTAATTGTGAGGTGAACTTCATCYATCCTTTCAGGTATTTTGACTTAATAATAAATTCAGAACCAAAAGAAGACAGAAATTTTCCATAAATAAATTTACCTGTTTGGTTGCAGGACTTCTACCCCATGAAAGGCGAACAATTTGTTGACCAATCAKGGTACCATGTAGCCTTTGTATTGCTTCTTCAGCGGCTGCCCTGTAAGCAGAGATCAAAGGAGACGAGAGATTAGCCCATGTCAGTCCCAGCCATCTGGGGCCTTGAGACAAAAGATTTATTCTTTTTTGTCGAGAGCATAGCAAATTATGGAGTCAATATTAAGTATACTGCTTTACAATATTCAATATAATAATGACACAAACCATAAGCTCTACAAGTTTTAGGGCGGTAATCGAATCAGATTCAAATCTCATCCGATTATCAAGTTTTCAAATCCAACTAAGATCCAAAATCCAAAATATAGTTAGTACATGGATCGTGTTTAGATTTCATCCAAATATGCTTTATTTCATTAAAATAAATAAAATTATTTTTAAAATAATTATTTCATATAAAATATTGAATTTATTAATTATTGACTTTATATAATTATTTATTATATTACATAGAAATAAATTTTAATCGAGCTTAGATCTTAATCGGATTGGATGGGTCAAATTCGCGGGCATATTTTGATAATTCATTTTGCATTTGATTAGATAAATATACAAATCAAGTGAATAGAGGTTTTATTGCAGGATAGGGCATACCTAGTTCCGAACTGCACAAAACCGTATCCATTACCCAATGAAATCTTGACATAGACAAGTTCCCCAAACTGAGCAAAGATTTGCCTTAGCTCCTCCTCTGAGACATTAGGATCCAACCCACCAACAAATATCTATGGTAGAGAAACATAGCAAGAAAAGTTATAGCTCCTGCAAAGGAATCTCAAATAGAAAGGAAATCRATGTCTGACTTACAGTTGTGTTATTTGGATCAGTATCTGCTGGAAATGCCTGCACTGCCGGTGTGCTGTAAGCAGGGGTTGGGTAAATAGCTGCTGAAGGAATCATATGAAAGAGTGCAGTTACAAGCTTTTCAAGGAGAAAATGGTAAAAAAAGAGCCACTAGGAATGAGAAACATAACCTTGGGCCTTGGCTTCTAAGCCTATCTATGACATAATCAAGAGAGAAACATCATTACAAAAAGCAAGTAATTATTAAATTCATTGAGCCATTCAAAATAAATCCCAAATACCAATCAGTTTGCTGATCATTCCCTTTAGGAGCAGTAATCCAGTAGCTCATCTGTTTACATCCAGTTGTATCTTTTACAAGTGCACAAAATACACCCAGCATCCAACTATATATGATTCAGGAAGTACACTTTTGGGTAACTTACTTATACAGCAAGTTAAGCCACTTTTGTTTATCTTGATTGACTAGTATGTCATATAAACCAACAATACCAGCTCAACAAGGCTTTACCATTCCAACATACTACACTAGAAGTTCATTTTCTTTGCCAATCTGCCCATAGATCAGGTTAGATGCTACAGTGAACCACACAGAGTTTGTCTCTTGTTTTTATTATAAAAAATCTTGTTATAGGGGACATCTTCCTTCTTATCATCTCTTTGAAAGTTCATTTATATGTTACCCTTTTGCTGGACATTTTACATGTTTCTCTGTCACTATACATTTGAACTGCATCATCTGATCTTGGACCTTTCAACTTCTGAAGAATTTTTTGACATGGAGGAAGTAGGGTAGACAACAATGAGGAGATATCAGCTGATCAAAAAAAAGCAAYGAGGAAATATGTAAATGGTTTTCATTTATATGTTATCCTTTCGCTGGGCATTTTACATGTTTCTCTGTCACTATACATTGGAACAGCATCATCTGGTCTTGGACCTTTCAAGTTTTGAAGAATTTTTTGACAACAAACGTTCAACTTTCAAGTCATGGAGGAAGTAGGATAGACAACAATTAGGAGATATGGAAATGGTTTTCAAAATGCAAATAATGATAATGGAAAGAAGTAATATCTGCAAACAATTCAGCTACATCAGCCACCCATACCATATGCGTATGTTTTTTTTTTTCTTCTTTTTTGGATTTGATCCCAAGTCTCTGCCACAACTAGACAGGCCTTACCAACTATGTGTATGGTTACACGACAAATTCAGTGTCAAGCTATGGTAGATATTTTTGTAGAAACAATAAATTTTGCACCAAGATGACTAAGCTCAATATCAAACAAAAAGAAAAGGCATTGGCATCAACCATGCAAAACAATAAATTTTCATTTTTTTTGTTTGATAATTGAAAATGATTTCATTAAACAATAGGAATAAGATTTTACAAGAATCCCTTGGAGAGGCATGAGATACAGCCTCCCCTAACCGTTACAAAAGATCAGAAAAAATTACAATGCTGCTCAGAATAAATGGTCCCTAGTAGCCCCCTGTCTATCAAGATGATCAGTCAAAGCATTTGCCTCCCTACCACCCACTGATATCTTCAATAAATTTTCATTTAACATAAAGCAAATAAGCACAAGTCAAATTTATCTTTAAAAAGAACACAATTACTCTATACTTTTTCAAACAGATATGGATGATTCATTGATAGCTAAAATCGTGGCTGTGATGGAAGGAACTCAAAAGGCAAAGGAGCTGAAGGAAACTGGGTGGTGGAGCTTTGCTAATGAAGAAGAAAATTCAAGTGTTTAACACAATATATATAGTTTTCAAATGCTTTTGTTGATGCTTTGGCAAAGCAAGGGGTGGGGAGGGATTATCTCTCTCTGAGGTGCTCCATTGTAACTTTTTTCTATAATTAATGAACATTTCCTGTTATTGAGAAAAAATGAACGAATGAATTTCTGTGTTGCTTATCAAAGAAAAAAGGCGCTTAGAATCACTTCAGGGCTTGGAATCACTCACCACTCTTAGCGTAAGTTATAAAAACTTGAATAAACGGAATTCATTCATTCCTCCATGTTTTGACACTTTATACACATATAAAGTCACAACTGGTAATGGCCGGTCCTACTAGAATAGGAAAAACAAAAAGTACAGAATTCACACTATCATAAGAAAACTCAACACCTCTTTAGCTACTTAACCAATGGCTATGAAACAGTAAACACAACTTTTTTTATTAGTCTGCAAAAACAACTAAACTGTGATTGGACAATTCAAACTCAAGAGCTCAGAAAACCAATAAAATGACTACCATCTAAACTACAAAATACAAAAAAATATTCAAAACTTTCAATTGAGTTACATGTTTTTTTCTGATAAATGAGAATAGATTTTATTAATTCAGAAGGAATAGGCATTACAAGCATCCCTTAGAGAGGCACGAGATGCTACCTCTCTATAAACAAAAACAGAAAATATTTTTCCTTGAAGTAATATGAAAAAATAGGAAAAAGCAATAAATGATAAAATTATTAGAAGAGTGAAAATATCATTATCCTATTAAAAACATGCTTCTAAAATATTCTTATGAAAAATCACATATAAATCAAATAGCATAATTTGAATGTTCTGGGTGGAAAGCTAAGATGGTTTAGCAKGAAGATTTTGAACAGTATTTAAACAAGTCAATGGTTTTCAAGGACTTGTTAATGGAGGCGAATTTGGTAATTGGTTAGAAGCCCAAATGATTCAACAGTCTGATTTGATCGGATCCAAACTTTTAAAAAGCCGGTCAGATATGAGAAAAAAATGAACCGAAATAATTAAGCTTTTCTCATTCTCTGAAAACAAAAATGCATATTTTTTCATTACCTTTAGCTGCTGCTGTATATGGCTGCTGAAAACCAGTGGTCTTCTTTGGTGTTGCTGCACTGATACGCATTGGCCTGGTTGAGCAATAAACACCATTCATTTCTGTCATAGCTCGGTTTCTTTCTGTCTCATCAGAAAATTTAACAAAACCATAACCCTTTGAACGGCCAGTGTTAGGATCTGTCACAACCTTGGCACCTCTTACTGATGGATATTGAGCTCGAAAAGTCTCCTGCAACAAATAATCAGTAACATCTGGTGCTAAATCTCCTACAAAAATGGAGTGCTCAGGTCCAGCATCAGGACGCCTTTCCCCAATTCCAAAAGAAGCCCAATTCAGCCTAAAAGTTTGTTCAGTCCCAGGCATTTGTGTTCCATTGTATGTTTGCAAAATTCGTTCAGCTGCAGCATGGGAAACAAACTCCACAAATCCATAACCTTCAGGCTGGCCAGTGATCTTATTACGTATAATTTTTATTGAAAGGACCTACAAATGCAGAAAGCTTGTTTATTAAACTTAGTAAATCCAACAATGTGCAGGCAGTAGTAGTTCAAACTTGCAAATATTAAACTGATAACCAATGCCAACATAGCGTCCTGAAATTGATATTTCAAATTAAGGAATATTTAAGTGTGATCAGTTTAATGTAGTTAACAGTGTTTTAAAGGTGCAAGGGGCTTTTTGCACCCAAGGCACAAGGTGAGACATGCACCTTTTTGAAGCGAGGTGCAAAATTTAAAAAACAAAAAACAAAAAATGCAAAGAAATGGTAAAACTGCAAAAAAAAAATATTAAAAATAGTATTATTTTAAAAAAGTACATATATATTAAACTAATGTTTTAAAAAACCTATTAGCTCAAATTTAGATATATAGATGTAACCTATAATGCATATCAAAGTGAAATGCAAAAATAAAATTAACTATAACATATACAAAATATTCATGCATTCAACAATTCAAGCATGTGAAACTTTTAATCTATTTATTTCTTTTCAAATCACATTACCCTAATTTACGAGCTGCTTTATACTGCGCCCCTTTAGGCAAGGCCAAACAAATATGTGCTAGTCATAAATCCTTAATTCATGCACAAAATTTTGATTTTGTAATTTTAATTATAATTCCTTATCTTTCAAAATTGTCTTGTATTAAGAAGGACAATGTATAAAAAAAAAAAGTGCAACATTTAGTGAAGGCCCATACCCAATGTTGGTTCCATCTTTTCTAGGGTGTGCACCTCCTACTAGATTCTCATCATAAATTAAGAATTAAGTAAAAATCTGTTTCTTTTTATATTTTCTAAACTAAAATTTAAAGGCCCATACCCAATGTTGGTTCCATCTTTTCTAGGGTCGTGGGGAGGGGTAGGCAAAGCATGAGAGTGCTGGTTTATATGTGAAGGTGGATTTATACTAAAAAAGTTGGAGGATATCCAGTCCATCCCTCCCAAAACCTCAAATTGTCGGGACCATAATTGGGTAATAGCCTTTTTGTATCACTTAATAAACAAAATAATAATTCTTTTCAGTGTATAACTTGAAGAAAAAGCACATATTAAAAGAGGCCATTTCTTTCCTTGCCTCATGTTTTGCCTTCCAAATCACTCTTCAAATTAAGGTTTATCCATATTTTATCCAATTATGGACGTATTCAACTCAAATCACCTTAGTCAGGTTGCAAATAGTATCTGTTTGTCCAAATTTGATTTCAAATGCAATCTGATTAAGGCGATATGAGTTCAATACGTTTATGATTGGATAAAATAAGGATCCACCCCAATCCAATCCATAAACCTGATCTAATAATATTTACATAATGTGTATGCATCTATCTAGTTAGGTTGGTTTGAATATCATTATTTTCAAGTCTAATAGAAGTTACTTTGAAGTCATTTTATTCATCATATAAGTCAATTTTGGTACATTTTATTATAAATTTTACGATTTTTCATTTAATTTATTAATTTTATTCAATATCTAAATCTGATTCAAGTCAGATCTAAATCGAATGGATAAGATTTTGAGTACAATTATTAGCAAATCAAATTTGGATATAGGTATATCTTATTTGCTCAGGTCCATTTGCAGTGCTACATGAAACTCCTTTCCAATGCCTACTGATGCCATATCCATTGTTAAATTATTCTTTTATCAGCAACAAAGAAAACTTTATTAAAACTAATTAAGAAGAAGGTTACAAGAAGTTGTTAAATCTGAACACCCTTTTACCTGAAAAGAACCCTACCTTCCCATTACAACTAAGCCAAATACAAGTGATTTCTATGCAATCCTTGCTTAGCTAATCCACCCACCAATCCATTAGTGAACCTTCTTTTTTTTTTTTTTGATAATTCATTAGTGAACCTTCTTACCCATCTAACTTGAATGTTCATAGTTCTTGACAACATCTTGAACCGCCTGAGATGATTCCTGCATTGCCAAATAACCCTTTCTCCTTTCTTCTGCCACCTGATTATTATTTTTGAATCCCCTTCCACAATCAACCTTGTGATTCCCATTTCCCTACCWTTTTGTACCCAAAACAGCAGCCATTAATTCTGCCCTTACTGAACCACATTGTCCAATTGGCCCCAAAAACAATCCATCATGTTGTTAAACTATGAGCACTTAAAATCATTTCTAACTACTTCAACCAATGTCCTTTTCGGTCTACCCCTAGCCCTTCTAGCCCATACAACATGCAATAGACCAATTCTTTTTACTGGTGCTGTTGGTGGTCTTCTATGCATGTGACCAAACCATCTTAGTCTACTTTCAACGTTTTCAAAGCACATGGGGCAAAAATGGCGCAAAGGCCATTTTGCACCCAAGGCGCAAAATTTTAAAAAATAATAATAATAACAAGTAATGCAAAAATGCAAACAAAATTCAAAATTCAAAATAAATTACGAATATATTAAAAATAGTATTATTCATGGGATGGTTGCTGCTTGGTTGTTAATACCTGAGAATGGTGGAGAGGGTTCGGTGACTGCGGGATGCATTACAAGGGTGTCGGTTTTCTCTAGAGTTGGAGTAGGAGGTGATTGCTAGGAGTTGAGACTTCTTGTTATGATGTTTCGTAGTTCCTCTTCCAAGTTTCCGCCTGGAGGGAAGCGGAGATGGGAAGCCAAGACTTGGTTTCAGAAAGGGGGGCGAGATGTGAGGAGCAGATCTAATGTGTCCTGCAGTAAAGCGGCAGCGGCTGGTGCTTGGCTGGATTTTGGCATATCGGAGTTGAGAGTGATGGAAGATAAGTTGGTGGTGGTTACAGAAAATCAGGCGGTAGAAGCTATTTTCTGCGTAAATGTCTGGTGGGGAGATTTCGGTGGCGGGTGGGAGCTAGTGAGGTGGAATCTTGGGTGACTAGAATGTGGAGGGGGTGTGGGGAGTTAGAGTGAAAACGATGGTAGATGATCTATTCTTGTTCATCTGTCCCTCGAGAGCTGAAGCAGAACGGATCTTGCATAATGGGTCGTGGCAACTGGAAAGGAATCCTCTTCTGCTGGATTGGTGGGGTGCGAGTGTGGGGTGTTTCTACCCGAAACCCAGCTCTGATACTGATCGCTTGGATTCAATTTGGATTAGGGTTTTTGGTCTTCCCCTTCTTCTCTAGTGCCCAAGTGTGATTAAAGCTATTGGAGACGTGTGTGGGGGTTTTATTGAGATTGATGATTCCCCTTCAGAGGTTGCAACTTGCAAATGGGTCAGAATGAAGGTTCGTAGGAGAGAATCCATTCCGAATAGGGTGGAGGTTGCGGCTGGGGAAGTCTTGTTCTCAATCCAAATTTAGCCTGAGCTCTTGTCAACAGTGAGCAGATGAAAATGGGGAGAGCGGGGGAACGAAAAGGTCCATAAGCAGGGGAGAGTGGATTCAGAGTCTTCAAAAACTTTAGTGTTGGAAGAAGTTGATGAAGTTCCTCAAAAGCAGAATCACTGTAATGAAGTTCAAATTAATCTTGTTTCACCGGCAATCTTTCCCGTGGTCAGAGAAGGTGAAGGAGACAAAACGTGCTTGAACCTGAAGCGTCCAATCTTGGATGATTTGGAGGGTCAGGATGTACCCTCCAGAACTAGCATCGAAGCTGGAGTACAAACCACAGAAGATGGGGGGTTTGGACGGGAGTTGGGAATTAATGATTTGAAAATTTTAATTAAAGAGTGCTTGGTGGAAATGAACATGGCTCCCTTGGCGGATTTGGCGTCGAACAGCCGTAAAGAGAAGAGCCAGAGTCCATTTCTCAAGTCCTGTTTGGGTCAGGACAATTTAATAGGGGGTTAGGATTTCTTAATAGGGGGTCAGAAAGCCTCTCTAAACCATTTAAGTCTGAACAGGGGCCAGCCGCAGAAGTATAGAAATGGGCCTGGGCCGAAAGATTTAAGTGAGCCCAAGGCCCTTTTCCATAGAAATGAAGGTAGTAGCCCAGTCCAAAGGGAGCCCACTCGATCCAATCAGCTCTCTATTGACGTGGATTATGGGCGAAAGCAACTTTCTCAGTGGGTGGATCCTAACGGTAAGGATTGTGCGCGAAAGGGAATTCGTCAGCCTCTCAACCCTTTGAGCTTGCTATCTTCCCCGTTGATGGAGGATTCAGGCCTGGAATTACAAGATCTGGCATTGGCAAGGATGGAAGAGAATATTGTTGAAGTTGATCCTATTGTGGTGGTGGAGTCCACTGATCCAGGGGAAGATAGGGGGAGGATCTTCTCCAGAGGAGCGGCCATGAGGGGAGGCAAAGAGTAGGTGAGACTCGAAAGACAAATGGAAGCTCAGTCCAGATGAAAGACTTCAGAGGAAAGACCCCCAACTTGTTGCTACAGGAAGGTATGCAGTCTGATATCCCTGTGTCTTCTTCTTGGGTTTCGTCTAAACTTCTAGGATTAGGCAAGTTTCTTGGAGTTTCAATGGAGGGGATGGAGGATGAAACAAATAAGTTCCTGGAGGGGATTGAACATAGGGTCCTTTTGGAGAGAGGGAAATTAGCGGCTAAGAAAGGGGGAGCTAATTTGAAGAGGAGCAGGGAGATGATGAGGTTGACTTGGGAGCTTAACGACAAGGCTGGTAGCAATGAGGGGACGATGTGAGGAGGAAAAAAAGTTTAAGTTCAAAGAGGGTTTTTCTGTTCTGTTCTTGTGTTTCAGATGGATTTGAAAATATTATCATGGAATGTCAGAGGTTTGTGTTCGGGAAGAAGACGTGTAGTGGTGTGTGCGTCTCTGAAGAAATCTGGTTTGAAGATAATATTGCTTCAAGAAACCAAATTGGATTATATGGATGTTGCTACTGTTAGAAGTATCTGGGGGGAGGGTGAGGTCAGATGGAAAGAAAAAAGGGCTGTGGGCAGTGCAGGGGATTTGTTGACTCTTTGGGATCCCTCTATCTGCAGTCTTATATCCTCTCATGTTGGAAACTTTTCAGTCTCATTGGTGCTGAAATTTCCTAATGATAAGGTGTGTCAGGTTATAAATGTTTATGGTCCTACAA